ATATTCAAAGTTATATTTGAAGGATTAATCTTTTTAATAGAATGTGCTACATTTAAGTCTTACAGTAACACAAATATAATTTAGTGCTGCTAGTATAACTGTCTTTTCAATACAGGGTATCCACGGGGTCTTGAAAAGGATTAAAAGGTGATAAACCAATTTTGGGAAAATTAAGACCCTTAAAAAGAATTAAAAAGTCTTATCACAGCTTTATAAAGTCTTAAATTTTGAAAGTGTTTTTTCTAGGGATGTAATGATTCACTCGCAACCGGTTGAAAATTGATAAAAATGTGTGACGATTCAAGTCGGTTGAAATGTTAAACTAATACACGAATACGCGATACACGTTTTAAACAGCAGGAGCGTTTACTGAATGTCTACTGTGAAGTTGTGAACCTCGCTTTACAGGCACAATAGCAGCGAGCACACACTGACACGAACCTACAGCGAGTGTTTTCACTTCATTCCTAAGGAACTTGAGCTTGTGTGAGCACTCATAGTAATGAACTGAAAACGTTTGGTTTGCTCCGCTCGCGACACACAAGTGTGTGCCATTTGTGCACACGCTGTCAAACACATGGCAACCAGGCGACGGCAAGCGTAGATGTTGGCTCTTTCAAATCGGAGCTGTGGCGGCATTTTGACTCTTTGTAGACTAATAATAATCACCACTGTGAGAAGCACATCACCGTTTTCACGTAAAAGTCATTAATACGACAAGTGTGAGAGCTACGGAGATCACAAGGTGCGTCGGTGTTTCCATGGCAATCATGTGTTGTATTTATTTTATCTCTTTCTCTTAATGTCGTGTACATGGATTTATTTAGTTAAATAATTTAGTTAAATTTAGTAAATATTTAGATAAATAATTTGTTGAGAGTTGTGGCATATTTTGATAAATGTGTTCTGTTTTTTTTAACTCTTTCTATTTAAATAATACAAATTATGACAAAATAAAAATCTTTCGTTTATTACAATGTAAAACTCCTGTCAATGTGGTACAAATTTTACAGCCTTTTACTTAGTGTGCGAAGTAGGCTTGGGCGGTATTACGGTAATATCGTATACCGCGGGATCTAAAAATAGCAACGGTATCATTTTCAATATCGTCACACCGTCAGAAAAACAAACAAACAATGCACTTAAATAGGAGACAAGGAATCCTTGTCTCCTATATAAGTGCAATGTTTTAAATACAATTTATTTAATGGCTAAAATGCTTATATCTGGTTCTCATGACGTGACAGTGTGGTGACGAGAGAGTGGGGGAGAGAGGGCAAAGATTGCAAGTTGCGCACCGAGTGACTTGGTCTCGAAGAAGAACACGACTTCTGCAGTTTGGCAGGGATGGGCATTTCAAGCAAAAATAATATTTAAAGATTGCCTGGTATTATTCGATTATTATTTGAAAATTGTGCCCCACCACCACATGCACGCACACATGCATGTAGTCTACAGCGGGCCAGACCGTGTGACGCTTAAATATAAGCTATGAAAAATAAAAACGTATTCCTTTCATATTTTTTAAATAATATGATGTTTTTCTATGTATGTTGATTTTATGAAAAGGGAACTTCATGAGATGACTAAGATAAGATCATAAAATGCGCAATATCGGAAAACATTTGGAAATGACCACTTATTACGTTTTGTTTTGTACAAAGCCTTTCTTTAAAACGAATTTCGTTTTGAATAAATTGCATCTTCATTTATTTTATTTTTTTCATCAACGAATTGCCTGGATTAATAAATAAAAAGCAAAGATAGTAATCAGGACATGTGCCGACGCGTGACTGGAGCGCGATTCATACATGAACTGAAACTCGGCATATAAGATGCATGTCTTAATGATCTGAGAAGTGTGTATATATATGTAAGCTTGAAATGTCTATACTTTTAAACAAAACAATTACAAGCTAAAAGAAATGGGCTGCTCTCTGCTATAGGCTTATTCATATGACGTGTGCATTAGGCTACTCTTTATTCGTGTTTTCATACCATGAAGATGCCAGTTTGCATCGTCAATGCAATCTTTATCTTTGCAGCAACTGACAGAAAACACCAGTTTATTAATAAATAATTTTATCTCGGCTCGCGTCGAGAGCTCGTGGCGCGTGATCTTCAGAAATGCGCTCCCCTCTCTAGAGGAAATATCACCACTCTGCTCACATTGTCTGGTGTGAGACAATGTTGTTTTCTAATAGTTGATTGACAGCTTTTAGATGCATTATTGGAACCGACACTCTCTGGTTGAACGTGTCATCATGTGTGATGCCGTCTGAGCCTTATCTCATAATTTTTAATTAGTCACGCGGTAATACCGTATACCGCGGTAAAATAGGGAGGAGGTTTGACGGTATGAAAATTTGGATACCGCCCATGCCTAGTGCGAAGGTACCCGAGTGTCCAGCCTCTTGACCAGACAGACAGAAACACTGAGTTGAAACAACCTTGAAGGGAATTTTGTTTTTCAATGTAGTTTTATTGTTTGACTAATATATTTCAAAATGAAACAGAAATGTGCAGAATTTTTTTTGTGAAATAAAAAAGAGACACTTTTTCATTTATAATTTTCTTAAATCTCATTTGTTAAAAAAAAAATTGTGAGAATCATGTCGTGGAACCGATATCGTGAATCGTATCGCATTGTGAGTGAATCGTTATTAGCTGAATTAGCTGTCCAACAGTTTGAGTCCCAAAAACATCATAAAAGTGTGTGAATTAAGTCATTTTTGTTAAAAAAATTAACAGATACTTAAAAAACTAGGCTATTGTGGGTGTGTTCGTAAATTGCCTCTGAGAGCACCAGAACGGGCAGGTGGGCGTTCTGGCGTTCCCAGTGCGTATTACAACGCACCAAAATGTTTTAAGAGAAGGTTGGTGAACGCATGAACCGAATGGGGAAGTTTTTTAATAAAATTTGCTTTGATTTACTATCCCAGCCTTATTGAATTTTTTGTATCAGAGTGGTCTATAGTCTTTATCACAAACTGATGTTAGAGTTTTTCTCGATTGTTTCCTGCAAGTATGCCTCATACTCTCAGAACTCTACACACAAATCTAAAAACACACACAATCGGCAAAATCCCTCAATTCTAGTGCAAAATTAAACTTTACATTCAAAACAATGTTATATATTCTCAAAATGTTATTTTGTTTTCAAATGAAACACACAAACCATTATATGAATAGACATTTTTATGAACCAGTTGAACACTGATGTGCTCAATGTAAAACACTATGATGAATGGAGAAAAAAAAAGTGTTTTCCATTGATCATAATGACGTAGGCCTTTTTTGTTCAATGTTACACTTACTACAGACATTACATACATAAGTGTGTTGTAAAATATTTGAGAATATTGTTTTTATACCCAGAACACACAAACTATTTTTCCCACAAAAACAATGGGAGATAGATCGCACATTTCATACCCCAACCAACACAAAGTTGCACATACAGTGGTCTACATGCAGTACAAAACAACAGAAAAACATGCGTATGTTGTTACAGTAAAAAAAATAAAATAAATAAATATCTATGCTGCATCCTCTCTTCGGTTTTGGTATTTTATGCTAAATCTCTGATTGCTAATTGTAAAAATGTGATGGGTGTTTGCCCATGTGACGAGTCAGTGTGAATATTTGAATGGCAGTGTGTTCCTCTTGAAAACAAGAGATTTTCTGCATGAAAATTGTGCCAAATGCAGAGAATTTGTGTGTAGTGTTTTGAAAAAAGTGTGTTTTACAACTGCAATTTGAGTGTAAAGCAGGAATTGTGCTTGTAGTTCAGCAGAATTGGTTCAGGTGGTTGGTGAATGAGTTGCATGTTGTGGTCGTTGTGTCTCAGGTACCAGAATTTGTGTGTAAACAATTGAGAAAAACTGTAATGGTTATAGCTTGAAGTGGCGGTGAGGTATTAAAAAATATTGAGAAGGTCAGGAAAAAAAGTCTTGAAAAGGTATTAAAAATAACTTCAAGATTCCTGCATATACCCTGCAATAACTTTATTGAAAACGAAATTGTCTTGAGGAGAATGGAACCCAGACGGAAATTTGATATTAGATTTTTTTTTTTTTTTTAATAAAGGCCTGCCTCTAATAAAAGCCTGCTTCAAATAAAAGCCTGGTACTTTCTGCAGTTTAGGTAAATAAAGGCCCCGGCTTTTATTTGAGGAATTACGGTAGGCTAATTTGTATCTTTGTTTAATTGTATTCTTTGTTTGACCATGTATTTGTACTTGTTTTTGCTTATATCTCATGTATATATAAAAAAAGCCTGCAAACTGCTGCATAACAAATAGATATTTTATTCATTTTGTGACTGGCCTAAAACGTAACCGGTTGTAGGTTGCATTAACACCTAGCGGTGGATGCTAGAAGACCCAGTCAGTGACCTCACAATATGCAATTTTTTAAAAAATTCATGAGCACCATGACCAAAATAGTACTTTTTTTTCACACTGAATCTTGAGAAAAAAAAATATAGACCTACCTACTGACCCTTTTTAAAAACTTTTTTGCTGTTACTGCAAACCAAAATATTTTTAAGGATGGCCTACACTCCCAATCATAGTTATTATAAGCAGAGGTTTGCTGTTTGAGCTGCGCAAGCTGAAGCGCTGAATGAACACCTGTAACCTGAAACCCTTTGCTTGCGGGTTAACTCAGTGAAAAAGCATACAATATGAGATTTATCGGATATACAAAATCATATTACAAATTATATCTGCTCAAACTGACACGAGCAACATGCACGCACATGATTCATCGATTAATCGTTAACATCCCTAGTTAGTGTTGTTTGTTCACCTTGCACGTCATGAGTTTGTCAGTACAATATCCAGAACGGAGAAAGTGTGTTTCAAATTATTGACATAAATCTTGCAACTGTCATTTCAGTGCTGATGTTTTGAAGTTTTTTGGCATATAAGAAATATGAATGTAATGTAATATTAGTTATGGATATGATGATAATTGGTATGAACTTTTCTCTTATAGGATCTGGTCACTGAACTCCAGATGCAGTCCATTTTCACAGACATTGGGAAGCTGAATTTAAATGAGCCAGCCCACAGTTATGTGCTCCCGTTTGCACAGGGAACACACTCGACCTCTCCGTCCACATCTGCCGCCTGGATCAGTCATCAAGGGGAAGCTCTCTTTGCTCTTGCCTCACCGTCAGGCAGCATTATTATAGTCACGTTACCTCCCCACGATCAAGATGGTTTGTATTTATCTATAGTGATCTTTATCCATCTCAAGCTGCTTTCACACTTCCAGCGGCATGCAGTGACAAAACGACACAATCCCATTCGTTACAACGGAGAGCTGGCGATTACCTGTTACCGTTGGCAACTTGGCTACAGCAACTAGGCGTGTCCAGCGACACAAAGTGAAGATATAAATTTTGTGCAAATAAAGAGCGACTTTCATGAGTCGTCGTAAATGTCATTCATAAGCGTTGTTAAGCAACCAGTGGGGGGAACACCCACTAGCAAAGTCGCTGGCAGTGTGAACCCTGTAGCTTTACCCTGTAGACGTAGTGTGTGGATCCTTAAAGCATTACATATCATAAATGTCGTGTTGTTTTTGGCGGCCTGTTTTAACTTTTGTTTTAGTCTAGTCTTTGTGTCAAACTGTCATTTTAGTTTTTTTTGTTATTTAATTTTAGTCACGTTCATACTCTTTTTAGTCTAGTCTAGTTTTATCCGACAAAAGATAGTCTAGTTTTAGTCAATGAAAATTGTAACAGATCGAAGCGGGCGTCCTAGAGAATGTACACTAGCCACAACAGAACACTGCAGGGCTCTCAAGTGTCACTCATTTCGGTCTTTTGTCACGCACTCCTGCCACACATTGTATTTCTCACGCTGAAAAACTAATATATTTAATATGCCTAAAAAATAAAAATGGCATTAAATTTGAACATATCTGCAGAAACCCTGTGTGCGTATGTGCTATATTTCTCTGCACCCATGTCAATAAGTAAGACAGAGCCTATGGTTAGAGCGCTCATACCGCACGCGGATGTGGTCCGGCAATGCGCTCCAGGAGCGTTGTGTGCATAACAGCAGAGCAGAGATCTACACAGTACCTCAACAACGCGACATAATGTATGTAGGCTTAAATTATTGATTTGAAATTAACACGCACCGCATACGCACTACACCCGTTTCTCACGTACTCCGTTTGCAGTGCGTATGCGGTGCGTATTTTTTTCCGTACCCATGATAAAAGGTTAGAGCTTTCACACTGCACACGGGTGCGGTCCGGCGATCGCAAAGGGCATTTAGTAAAGAACTATTTGGAACTATTTACTTTAGCCAGATTTTTGTCCACTATTTTAGTAGTTCTACTAGTTCTTGTCTTTATAAACTATTACAGAATTTGAATTGAATTTCATCAAAAGGGTAAAAATGTCAGGAAGTTAGTTTCTGATAGTTCATACAACTTAATTCTGCTGTTAAAAGGAATAGTTCACCCAAAACAATTATCAATAGAAATGTTTCCATCCAAAGTTGCAAATTTAACTTGCACGGAAATTGAAATATTGCATAAAACATTTTCAAATAAAGCACTGTTTCCATTCCATGTGTTCAAGTGAACAAAATCATCAAAATACCTGCATGTGTAAAAATAGGTGGATTATTTGTTTGACTTTTGTGGAATAGAAAAAAGAAAAGTGTCAAGAAAATAAAAACACTCCGGCAACAGAATGTAATATTTTGGGTGAACTATCCCTTTTCTTAAGGCTTATATTCACATAGAAACATTGAACAATGCAAAATACATAGAGAGATCAATTCTGGTGTACGTGGAAGCTCAACTGTGCTTGCTTGGCTCTCTAGAACCAATGAGGTTTGTTCTCGCATGGCTTAACTCCTGTGTTTACCGCATTTGATGAGCTCTAAGTCTTGATTAAGTTTTTTTTCCAAAGACTTGGATTAAACCACTTGGTTCTTATGGATTACTGTCTTTGTATGTTTTTACATTTTAACAAAAAAATAATTAGACAATATTAAAAAAACTATTTTTGTTTGTGTTCTGAAGATGAAGAGTCTTATGGGTTAACCCTCAATCGGGTCATGGGGTCTAATCGAATTTTACTTAATAAAAAAAAGGTTCTCTTCATCTCAGTGGAATAAAATTTTGTGACTTTTCATACTTTATCTATATATACACACAAAAAATACTGGGCTTGCAAGCTAGTGGTGTAGTTGAGAAATTGTGTGGTATATGGATACAAAAGTACTTTATATCTCCAAAAACACAGCATAAATGAATAGATGAGAAGTAAACAAAAAAATGATATATTATTTGTATGATTAAAAATGTATATTTTTTTGTACAATTACTCAATCAGCCAGCAGCCATATCACCCTGTAGCCCAAGACTGGTTGCCCACTGAAGCTAAGCAGGGCTGAGCCTGGTTAGTACCGGGATGGGAGACCTTCTGAGAAAGTCAGGTTGCTGCTGGAAGAGGTGTTAGTGTGGCCAGCAGGGGGTGCTCACCCTGTGGTCTGTGTGGGTCCTAATGCCCCAGTATAGTAATGGGGATACTGTACTGTCAAAGAGCATCGTCCTTCGGATGAGACGTTAAACCGAGGTCCTGACTCTCTGTGGTCATTAAAAATCCCAGGATGTCTTTCGAAAGAGTAGGGGTGTAACCCCGGCATCCTGGCCAAATTTGCCCAGTGGCCTCTGTCCATCATGGCCTCCTAATCATCCCCATATATACCAATTGGCTTCATCACTGTCTCCTCTCCACCAATAAGCTGGTGTGTGGTGAGCGTTCTGGCGCACTATGGCAGCCGTCGCATCATCCAGGTGGATGCTGCACACTGGTGGTGGTTGAGGAGATTCCCCTCTCTATGTAAAAGCGCTTTGAGTGCCGAGAAAAGCGCCATATAAATGTAATGAATTATTACTATTATTATTATCATCAATCAATTGTTGGGGTTGCATAGACCCCGAAGCCCAGAAGTGTAAACAGGAAACGAAGACCATTTGAAGGTTAACAATGTGCAGATGCCTGTGTTTTATAGAGGAATTGAGTCTGTTTGAAACGTTTTCGACTTAGACTTTTAGTTTTCGTTTAAGACTTTTAGTTTTCAATCTGACCCAATAATCCCTCCGTAGTGTTCATGATTCCTCTTTCTGTTTCAAAAAGGGGCTGTGTCAATTCTGGAGTTGAAACAGAGTTCGATGATGCAGCGATTGGCCGGCTGGATGCCTACTGCTATCAGGTACATTATTTCTTTCGTATACAATTTAAATGTTAATCACACACAACAGAACAAAGCAGAAACTATTTAAACGGGCGATCCCATTCACAGGGGAGATCCGAGCACCTCTGATGTAGCCATCAGTCTGGCTGTCCACCAGCTAGAGGACGACACGTTTGTATTCGCGCTGTGTCAAGATCATAAGCTGCGGATGTGGTCATTTAAGGTCAGTTTGGCTCCCAATTATACATACATCCAACTTCATTCTCGCATCAAGCTGCAATTGCTGTGTCTTTAAATGTCAGCTACTATGTGTAGCAAGTTTTTGACTTCATCTAGTTTCATGCCAATCACATTGATGTGTTGTTTGTCTCTCAGCATCAGATGTGCCTGTTGGTGACTGACATGCTGGAGTATATGCCCGTGGGTCGTGGGGATGTAAAGGTTTCTCCAGCTCAAGCTCATAAGCTCCGAATCTTCTTCTCCTCATCCATCGGTCTGTGTCTCGCCGTCTACCTCGCAGTTCCCAAACGCAGTCAGTTCTGTGTGCTGCAGCTGGTGGCCAATGAGAACAATCGCTACAGCCTGGATCACATCTCAACACTGTTCTCAACACAGGTAGAGTTCAGTACAGTAAAATATTGAATCCTTTATATGAATAGTAATGGAATTGTGCTTTTATGTGTTTGTGTGAAACAGGAGACGGTAGTGGATTTTGTCTTGACGGCAACTGATATTTGGGCTGTTTGGCTGGATAATGACAACCAGACTATGGTGAAGTACATCAGTTTTGAGCAGTGAGTAATGCAGAGTTTGAATTTTCACTTGGGATGTGCACTGCAACTAATTCCTTAAGATATTTTGTAACCGATTAGTCTAACAACCCCCTAAAAACTGAATAAACAATCCATTTGAAATAGCCCACATAATCTATGAACTAAAGTGGAAATGAAGCAGTCAAGTTAACATTATTTAGTAAATGGATTTCCAATCTAATCAAATTATGTAACAAAAAATAAATCTGGCGTCTCGGTGTGGACGCAAGGCCAAATCTAAGAGAAAGATGCGTTTTCTAAGAAAACTTGCTAGTGTGGACGAGGCCTATATATTTTACAGATGTAACACGAACACTGGGATATCTTTTTCATTTGCATCACATATTAACTAATTAAGAATAAAATTAATTTCAGAATTAGAAAATGATATCAGCGTTATCAAATTGGAGCAAAAAAGATATAAAGTCAGAAGTACATAAATCTTGGCTTGGCTTTTATGTTAGTGTTGCTAATAATTTCCACACTGTTCTTGTCGCATCTGTGTTTGAAACCAATTTCGTTTTGCAAGGACAAGTGTTGAATACAATTGAACAGAACTAGGGATGGCGAAAACTAAAAATTTTCTTGACCGACCACCGAGCCTCATTAGCCGGTTGAAACCGGTTAACCGATTGGTTTAAAAATATGCGCACGCACACGCACAGCCCCGGCGCCGTCCTTGCACTCATGTCACTTTTTTAAAATCCCCATACAGCGCGAAACACGAGTCCAGGGGGTACACGAGCACACCGGATGAGAAGCTCAGCATCGTGTCGCGGAGATCGAGCAACATCTTTCAAATTCAAACACATTATTCTCTACGAGTGTACACACACTGGCGGCGCCATTCAGCGTCTGTCCGCGGCGCCCAGCAACGACTCAGGACCGTGTTCAAAATCCTGCTGCGCCACTGCTGAGCGCCATTTACATAGTTTTATATAAAATTTAAATTATTTTTGTCTCACATCGTTGCTAATGTATCCTGACTGCGCCCTATGCTGCAATATACATATAGTTTTGCATTCATTTACAGAAATCAGCTGCTTGAATGACAATTGCTGATGTTATTGGATTTTTCAGGTGAGATTCTCAATTCATTCAGTTAACGGATGCTCTGAGGTAACGTTAAAGTTTTTAGACTGCAGACTCAGCAACGATTGTATTTAATTGTACAGTACAATCATAAAATAGAACAGACATTATCTTCATTTCATGTCATTAAACATAACAATATTGCTGGCCATACACTGATGAGAAAGTGCGCGTCCGGTGTGCGATACTGGAGTTGTCCTACGCGGCGCAGCACTTCTCGTCCGTCCGGGCACTCCAGTATGCGACCCCCCCCCCCCCAATAAAATGTAGCTCGTAAAATGCATGCATGATATCGCCCATTGGCCCAACCCTATTTAGAAACAGAAGTAATTAAATTATATTTGAATATTTAATGTTTATTTTTTAATCTATTGAACAGCATAATGCTCCCAATATTCTGTAACGGTGCTGTCGACATTGTAAACTCCGAACGCGTGCATGACGCATTCAAAGTGCTGCAGTTTCTTCATCCGTTTGCAATATAATGAAATTTTAATTTTAATTACAATGGTCATGTTTGTGATTTTTTTTTTTGATTAGGCCTATTTATTATGTGCATTGTGCAACACTTAAATTATTATTCAGAAATGTGTGCTGTTACTTCTATTTTTTTTCTGTTTAACTTTTATTAGACCACAGACCAAAAAAAAAAATAGGCCTACTAGATGATATTATTTTTTAAATTAGTAGAGATATCTCTACTATTCCGAAATAACAGGATAGCTGTTTTTTTTTTTTTTTTCGTCTGCAGAACAAAATAATTTGTATAATAATGAATAGTAATGTAATTAGGAATAAAAAAAACATCATATAAAGATCAAGAAATCCACAAAAAAATATGTAACAAAATTACAAATGTAAGGTTTTGACAGGTAACGCTTCTCAAAGTCCCATACAGACACATGTTGCCGTTAGAGCAGTCAGCTCCGAACAACAGTCTTATAGACGAATCCGACGAGCGTTCTGTGTAGGCTGCCATCTTGTGGCGACGCCATTACTGAGCTGTTACACCGGCATAGACATATGCACCGGCATGTAAACAAACCTCGGTGATAACGCGAACTCACCCTCGATGACAGCTACAGACAGGCAGAATGACTTGTTGGGTTGATGATGTTAGACCTTGACCTCCAGTCACAGGTGAAGGTACAAACGATCTTACAGATTATTTATGAAAATAGCTTGGCAAGCTAGCTAGGCTAACGTTTGCTAACGAGGAAACTATAAAAAGATCTGTCCATTTGGCAACAATAAATAAATAAATGAAATCAAATAAACAAATTCATGTTTTTCATTTGTGTCCATTATTTATCTCATTTTCACATTGCAACGGGCAAGGGTAAGGTAACGTTACAGCTAGAAAGTATACATAATATCGACCAATTAGTGTTTTTAAACCATGGAAAGAGGTCAATATAACAGCGGGAGAACAATTATGTCACATAACCTTATATTTAGCTCAGGAAAGCCATTTAATGACCATAGCATGTTAATTGAATAGAAAAAATAGTAAGAGAGGAGATTTTGCTGATCACTATATCACATATTTAATATTTATTATATTTTTTTACTTATGTCATTAAATAATTGTTATTATACGCGAATGTCCGCGTCTTGTACTCGCCCAGGAAATCTTTGTAAACCGTACGGCTCCAGACAGGGGCAGTCGACCCGGGGTATTCACAATATTTTCTCTTCAAAATTGAAATTTTACTGCCACCATTGAAGCAATTTATAACGGAAACTGTTTACCCACTCGACATTACACAAGGGCTAACGTTGTAACGTTAGTGACAGTCGTAAATCGCGGGCTGTTTATTCCAGTGGACGCAAGTTGCAACTAAAACAATAGGATGCAATGGCGCAACGCTACCCAGCAACAGCTCAGTAATGGCGCCCGCTTACTTCCGGTAGTTTCGCCGGATTTGTCTATACAATAAGGCTAATTAAAGTTACAATAGTTTAGTGAGTGATTTTCTTTTTCTTTTGTTCTTAGATCAACATTAATGGTGGCAATGACTGTCAATGCACGGATTCAATAGGCATACTGTTTTTCTTTTTTAACGATTTAAGACAAAACCAACTGTGTTTATGAGATGTTTTGACAATTGTGTGTGTATTTGTCCTTGCACTATGTGAGCGCTGGCTCTCTTTGCACGCTTTGAATTTTCTATTTCTAACTCTTCTAACTATGGGGCTACTATGAGAAATGTTTTTGTAATTTTTTCCTGATATTGATGATTATAGTCTGGAAACAGACTGTTATATTGGACATTGCGATACTAGCGAGACATTGGCGATATAAGATAATCTCGGCATATTGCCCGATAACTTGTATTACTAGTACTAGTATGTGTGAATATGCTCGCTAATGCAAATAAATATTCCCCTCTTATTACAAGTCTTTTATCTTCACAGAAAACATACACAATGTAAAAATTCAATAACCTGACTGTGCATAAAAAATGTGCGTTTATGAATTATATTTTGATGTTGAACATTTTCGAGTTAAAAATAACTGCTTAGCTCTGGTCCATAAATGCAGTCAGAGACAATTGTAGCTTTAAAGGATTAGTTCACTTTTGAAAAAACTTTTGCTGATAATTTACTCACCCCCATGTCATCCAAGATGTCCACGTCTTTCTTTCCTCAGTCGAAAAGAAATTAAGGTTTTTGATGAAAACATTCCAGGATTTTCTCCATATAATGGACTTACATGGGAACCAGACAGTCCAAGGTCCAAAAGACAGTTAATAACTGTTTCAGATGCAGCTTCAAATGTCTTTAAACGACACCAGACGATGAATAAGGGTCTTATCCGAAACGATCGGTTATTTCAAAACTTATTCCAAAAATGTAACTTTTCTAAGGACAAATGCTAGCCTTGCTCTATTCTGTGAGGCGCGTTTGTAACGTCACGTAATACATAATTACGTTCAAAACGTCACGGGCGGCGTAGCCGTAAGTACAGAGTCAGTGTTTACAAGTTGAACGCATAGGTTGAACGTGCAAACTAACTCAACGCCGTTTACAAACAAGGAATTAAAAGGTAAAACAACGATGTCGGACGTTTTTGATTCTGTACTTCCGGCTAAGTCGCCCGTGACCTTTTGAGCGTAATTACGTATTACGTGGCGTTACAAACGCGCCTCACAGAATAGAGCAAGGCTAGCATTTGTCCTTAGAAAAGTTACATTTTTGGAATAAGTTTTGAAATAACCGATCGTTTCGCATGATAAGACCCTTATTCATCGTCTGGTGTCGTTTAAAGACATTTGAAGCTGCATCTGAAACTGTTATTAACTGTCTGGTTCCCATGTAAGTCCATTATATGGAGAAAAATCCTGGAATGTTTTCATCAAAAACCTTAATTTCTTTTCAACTGAGGAAAGAAAGACATGGACATCTTGGATGACATGGGGGTGAGTAAATTATCAGCAAAAGTTTTTTCAAAAGTGAACTAATCCTTTAACCATATTAGATCTTCAACGTGTTAACAAGCACATTCACAAAGCAAATTTGCAAAAATTCACAAAATATAAAGTGTAATACTTGCGTGTTGTGTATGAAGTTGTTGCTATTGACTAGCTATTTTGTGGTGGGGGGTAGTCGGGGTGGTGTCAGCTTGCCAGTTGCCAACGCCGGGGGGTAGTGTTTTGTCCTCTTTGACGCCATAGTTCCCCACTTTGAAAAACTAGTCGTTTTCTGAGGCTGGTGTCTTTTATTGGACTAACAAAGCTTTTATTGGACTAACAAGGACGTTTTCAGTTCTGAAACTTTCAGGATATTCTTATAATATGATGACCTCTTAGATGTCAAAAGCTCAAGGAAAATTTGATTTCTCTGTTCATCACCCCTTTAATTAAAGTGTTTGTTTTTTTTCCCATGAAGATAAGAGTAGTTCAATAAAAGAAAGTCTTTTTAAAGAAAAAAAATGCAAGTCACCTTTGTCTGACTTTGCTACTTTTGTTTTAAAATACAGTAACACAACAGGCATGTGGAACCAGGTGTTTGTCCAGCCATCACCAGAGGAGGAAGTTCAGATTGGTGAAGACCAAGACCCACGGGTAAGTGAATCTGGTTCTAATGTGAACGCTGAAACTGGGATGTCATATATTGTGCCATTTTTGAGTTCCCTAACACATTGTTGTTTTTAAACAGGAAATCTATCTTGATGTACTTTTTTCACCACTGCGCTTCACAGCCTCAGCCATCATTAAAGCTCTACAGGTACAAATCTCAATTTACTTTCATTCACTCTGGTCGTAGAGCAAGGGGTACTCAATTAAAGTTCCCAGAGGCCATCTCCTTAAAGAGCAAATATCAGAAAAATCAAGGTCTTCAAAAACTGATTTGGGAGTTAAAGGGTTAGTTCACCCAAATATGAAAATTAAGTCATTAATTACTCACCCCCATGCTGTACCAACCACGTAAGACCTTCGTTCATCTTCGAAACACAAATGAAGGTATTTTTAATTAAATCTGAGAGGTGAACCACTGCTACATAGGCTGCCTAAGGGATTGGCCCAGAAAGTCAATGAAGAAAATGTTTAAATATTCCATGTGACTACAGTGGCTCAACTATAAGTTTATCAAGGGACGAGAATACTTTTTGTGTGAAAAAAACAACAACAAAAATAACGACTTTATTCGACTATTCCTTTTCTTCCTGGGCCGTCAAGTTTCAATCCCTTAGGGTGCCTATGTGGTAGTGATCCAGCTCTCAAATTTAATCAAAAATATCTTCATTTGGGTTTTTAAAGATGAACGAAGCTCTTAGGGGTTGGTACAGCAAGGGGATGAGTAATTAATGACTAATGATTATAAATAAGCAGTTTGCATTAATAGAAAAGTTATTGTACAATTTTTAACCAGAACCCACACATCAGAGAGCACAGCTCACTCAAATGTTGGTACCTGAGCCTCTTTTTCATCTGATCACTCCACAACAAGCAGCATTTTACATGCTGATACAAACCTTCATTCCACCATGTGAACAGAAAAACTAATGTGTTTATACTAGGGCTGAAACGATTCCTCGAGTTACTCAAATTACTCGATTACAAAAATTCCTCGAGGCAAAAAATCTGCCTCGAAGCCTCGTTAAATTCTTATGACACGCACTTTACGCGCACGCAGGGATCTGATTGTTTCACACAGACCGTTATTCAGGAAGCACACCATAGCGTATGATACATTTGACTTCATAAATGGCAGAGAATGTCTAAAGTTTGGGATCATTATATGTTTATAAAAAGAGAGAACAAGATGCAATGTGTCTGCAAAGTATACCTGGCAGGGCTGCCAACTCTCATGCATTCAGTGTGAGACTCGCGCAATTCGATTTCTCACGCTGAAGTGTCACTCCCTTCGGTCAAATGCCTGTCTATAGATCTACCTGTTGAGCCACTCGTGATCGACTAGTTTTACTGCCGCATATTAATTCGCAAGTTAAAATATCCTGTAATCTAGTGCGAGCGCGCATGCGAGATGTTGAGCTCCTAACCGCGGCTCGCGCACGACGGCAGAGAGGTAAGCGAGCGCGTGCACCCATGTCTCTCTCACGCGCCAGTCAGACCAATTGCGGCAATTCATCATATGCTTAAACTTTTATGTAGCCACGCAACAAAAATTTCAGCATACATTCACCGGGACGTGATGGAGGAACAAATATTGTGAGACAAACATCAGAGTGTGTGTGTCTTGAGATTACAGTTGAAAAAGTCTGATTCTTATTTATAATTGTTTTATTTCCATTTATTTATTTTTTATAATTTATACACATTTGTGTACCTGTTTGGGTTGATGTTTTATATTAATTTATTTTTGTTTCCAGGTGGGTAATTTGCAAAAGGTGCAATCCTTTTTTTGTAATGTTGTATTAAGAAGACAAAACTAAGGCCAAATGGGCTTTACTATTTAAGTTTGTATTCAAAGTTTTACATGTTATGGGCTACATGTAACAGGTTTTACAGTCAATTGTTTTAACTGTATTGTTATATAATTGTTGGCACTGGCACTTATAAAAACTAAATGGGTAAAAATTGCAATAATTAGTTGTGCAGCCAAATGTTGCAGTTGGAATAAATACCTCTATTTTTTTAAAGAAATAAAAGCCAAACACCTTATCATTTTCGTAATACAGTATTTGTTTTGGTCGCTTAAAAACACACAAACAAATTATCCGATTACTCGATTAATCGATCGATTAAGTGCTAGATTAATCAATTACAAAAAGAATCGATAGCTGCAGCCCTAGTTTATACTTGTATTTATTAAGAGCTGATTCTGTTCTGCCAGATTTACAAGCGAGGTACAGAGCGATATTCTGACTTATCATGGGAGGATCTGAAGAAAGAGGTCACTGTCGCAGTGGAAAATGAGGTAAGGTGGTGCTGTTTTCCCCTTTGTTCCTTCCTTTTGTTACCCCCAAAATTTTAATTAAACATTGTGTTCAGCTTCAGTCCAGTGTGACCGAGTACGAGTTCTGTCAGGAAGACTACCGCTTGCTACAGGTGGAGTTCTGGTCGAAGTTTTACGCATGTTGCGTACAGTACCAGGACGTTCTGTCCACGCCACTCGCCCTGCATGTGAGCCCTTCCACAGCCATGGTCTGCGTTCTCAAGAAGGTACCAGATCTCAGCCTTACTTCATTTTGTTGAAGTGAAGTAAGAATATGTGTGTGTGTGTGTGTAGGTCAAATTAAATCAAGATTTTCCCTATTTGCTGCTTTAGTACACATCGCTTTTCTTCATTTGAATGCTTCATTTATAGATGGCTGTTTGATTTCCTGATCAGCCTGATATAGAAACATTGCCTCAACCAACAGAGACTGAAGCTTTTTTTTTTTCTGAAGCTTCCTTCAGGCCATGCTTGCAATTCCTTTACTCCAGGGGTTCTCGAACTCGGTCCTGGAGGGCCACTGTCCTGCAGAGTTTAGCTCCAACCCTGATCAAACACACCAGAGCAAGCTAATCAAGGTCTTCAGGATCACTAGAAATGTTTGATCAGGGTTGGAGCTAAACTCTGCAGGACAGTGGCCCTCCAGGACGGAGTTTGATCAGAATTGTAAAATAAGATTTTATTAGTAAAATTATAAAATCAAATGTAACCTAATCGTTTATTTAAAGCAATAATTTGTATTTGAATAGGGATTTCATGAGAATCTCCAGACACTGACACTGCTCGAATCTCCCAAAACATAGTATTTCATAAAGTTCGGGGTTGAACCGAATTACAAGGACATTCACGGGCTTCATTGCACAGGTTTTGCCCCTTTGCTTGATGTTATAAGCTAAGATGTTGTTGATGAGCTAAGGCTGACGTTCAGCGATTGGTGAGGGAGCTCAAGAACAACTGGTGGACAGAAAAATCTCTAGAACTCCAGAGACTGGCAGATTCAGGTAACACCAGAGGTTTTTTTAGTGCCACTAAGGCTGTCTATGGCCCTAGCCATCACGGGTTAAATCCCCTGCGCCCAAAGGGTGGACAGAGTCTTTTGAAAGACAATGACTCCATCAATGCACGCTGGAAGGAGCATTTCCAGGAACTTTTGAATAGCGACAGCTCAGCTGAATCAGACATCGCCAACCATATCCCGCAGAGTCCCATCAGAGAAGACATGGGGGAACCTCCTACCCTAACTGAAGTTCACAATGCCATCAGAAGTCTTAAGAATAACAAGGCTACTGGTCCTTCTGGGATCCCCGCAGAGATTCTAAAGGAAGGAGGACCAAAGCTCTGGCACCACATCCATCATTTACTCATCAAGGTCTGGGAAAGGGAAGAGCTTCCCACAGAGCTCCGGGATGCCCACATTGTTCCCATATTCAAGAAAGGGGACAAGGCTGAATGTGGAAACTACAGAGGCATCTCGCTATTGTCAACAACAGGCAAAGTTCTTGCTCGTATCCTCGCTAACCGCCTGCTACCATTATCTGAGGAGATACTCCCTGAATCACAGTGTGGTTTCCGGTCATCTAGGGGAACAACTGACATGATCTTTTCTGCTCGCCAACTACAAGAAAAGTGTCGGGAACAAGGACTTCCTCTGTATATGGCCTTTATAGATTTGACAAAGGCCTTTGACTCCGTGGATCGGCAGGCACTATGGAGCATACTATCAAAATATGGATGTCATGATAAATACATCCGTGTGCTAAGACTACTGCATGATGGCATGTCCGCCACAGTGCTCAACGGTGGCTCTGAATCTGAGTCATTTACTGTAGAAACTGGGGTAAAACAGGGATGTATCATTGCACCCACCTTGTTCGCCATCTTCATTGCAGTCATACTTCACCTTACTGGCCAAGAGCTACCAGAGGGGATCCCAATCCTTTATAGGACTGACGGCAGGCTCTTCAACCTCAACAGGTTCAAAGCCAAGAGTAAAGTCAGGAGTACCACCATCATAGAGCTGCAATATGCCGATGATAACGCCATTGCAGCACACTCCCCTGAAGACCTCCAGGGCATTCTAAATGCCTTTGCCAATGCATACAGAGCCCTGGGTTTGGCCTTGAACATCAAGAAAACTAAGGTTCTGTATCAACCACCACCTAACCAGCAATCACAACAGCCAGTTATCAAAGTGGATAACACCACTCTGGAAAATGTTGATCATTTCACCTACCTTGGCAGCATTCTCTCCTCCAAAGCTGATATAGACTGTGAAGTTAAACATCGCCTTAGCTGTGCCAGCGGAGCCTATGCCAAACTCAGGACAAGAGTCTTTGATGACCGAGACCTGAGGGCTCAAACCAAGGTGCTGGTTTACAGAGCTGTGATCCTTCCAACTCTGTTGTATGGAGCTGAATCCTGGACAATCTACAGCAGACATCTGAGAGCACTGGAACAATTTCATCAGAGAGCCTTAAGGAAAATCTTGAGGATCAATTGGGAAGACAAACGTACAAACTTCAGTATTCTGGAAGAAACAAATATGCCCAGCATCACTACCATTATAATGCAGCACCAGCTCCGATGGACAGGACATGTTATCCGCATGCCCAACAACCGTCTCCCAAAGCAGATCCTGTACTCCCAGCTAAAGGAAGGACAACGAGCCCCTGGTGGGCCAAAGAAACGCTTTAAGGACAATATTAAGACCAACCTAAAAAAGTTTAACATCACATCTGGCGACTGGGAGAATTTAGCATTTAACAGGTCATATTGGAGAAAGGCAGTGCTTGAAGGTGCAGCACACCACGAAACAGAACTTCGCTGCGCCGCAGATGCAAAGCGGAAGCACCGCAAGGACAAACAGAGAAAGGCTCAACCACAACACAACACCTCAACCTTTCAATGCCAACACTGCAGTAGAATCTGTGGATCAAGGATTGGCCTCTACAGCCACCTGAGGATCCACAAATAAGGTGACCCAACGGAGAGGACAGTCATACTCGTCTCGAGTGACCGCCGAAGAAGAAGAGAAGAACGTTACTCTTGCAGTGTGCGTTCTCTCCTGCGGGAATTTTCCTTACAAATGCTTCACAAAGGCATTATTTATGTCTTTTGGAATGCAATTGGCTTATATATTAAAAATATGAAAATCACTGAGAAGGCTGCTTTCCTTTTAAAATACTAACGCGCACTTTGTGAAGAGCGTCGTGCATGCGGCTGTGAGCGTCTCATTGGTTAAATGTACTTGCATGTCAAAATGCTTTTATGACGTGAAATTAATGTTAACACGGTCGGTTATATCTTAAACCAACAAGACAAACCACATTTACAATTTTAAAAGATATATGTGCATTAGTGTGAATGCAGCTTATCATATCTAAACTGAGGGGGAAATCACTCCAGCTCTTGAATGAAAAACATTCAGACAGCCTACTTTTAAATACTGAGACTACTCTTTGTTTATTGCTTGTAATGCCCTTTTTTCTCTTTATTTACTAGCTATTATATTTTGAAGCTATATTAGTTTATATAGCCTATTTAAAATTCTTAAGTCTTGCGTTTTATGTTTATTTTTTTAAAGTATGTTCTAACACATGTAATTAAATACATATTTTAAGAGATTAACATTAATTAATAAGAAAATAAATTAAATCGGATCATGAGCTGCCTAAAGATTCCCATCCCTACTGTACAATGATTTATTGCTTGTCTTTGTCGACTAATACAGAAGGTAAAGGACTTTAAAAAAATTGCATATTAAATTGCAATATTGGTTAAACAAATCGCCATTAGATTATTTTCCATAATCGTTCAGCCCTAGTTCAGAGACATGCAGAATAAATACGTATTTATACGGGCTGAGACGCTCTAATAGCTGGAATATGAAATTAAAATTAAATTAGATATTTAGAAACTTGTTTAAATGCAATAAATCCATTTTAGTTTAGACCTTTATGCAATATAATATCTGACCTTAGTTTACAATGTACAGCGCTACAGTAGGTAGACAACCAGAATGTGGTTTTTGGCCGCTAAGAGGTGCTACAATCACAGACTTTGAAAAGTGTCCGTGTTTTGTGTAATCTACAGCTGCGCCGCGGCTCTTTCAGCGCGATTGAAAGTTGGTAGCAGATTAATTCAAGTGAAACGTAGTTAAATTAATTAATTAATCGCAATGCTGAAATTAAATTGAAAAAATAATGAAACCTTAAAACATTGCAATCGAAACATATTAGGTTACATCAATGTGGCTTTACAATCGTATAAGTTAAGACAATAATGCATTAGCAGTCTAACGATAGCTGTGTAGTTAACGCATCATCCTCAACCTCATAGACCTCCAAACGACGCGAGATCGAACCTCGGTAGGCCTACATGCTGTTGGCCGACAGCTTTTATGTTTTACCGTTCTTGAAGCTTAAATAGGTAGCTGTTTATTAGCGAGTTTATTTACTTAAAGTGTCCGACATAATTTGCCACTTCTCATTGAGAGCTGAGGTCGCAGATAAATTCAAGGTTAAAAGGATAGTTCACTTTGAAATCAATTTTTGATATGTTTTAGCTTACCTCAAGGGCATCCAAGATATAGGTGTGTTTGTTTCCACAGTATTTTCAATTTTGACATTTTTCAGTCAAACCGTTGTTGTCTATCAGTCATACACTGGAGGCTAAGGGGGTCCACCAAAAAGCATGCACAGAGAAGTCAAAATTAAACATGATGTAATGACTCGTAAATGTAAGTACACATTGATGGCCTAAGATACGAAACGAGCAGTTTGTGTGAGAAAACGAACAGTATTTATATCGTTTTTACCTCGTGTAATCACAGTGACGTCCCATTGATCTGAATCAGTTGTGCAATGTCCAACTGAACCGAACTGAATCAGTTCAATGTTATGCCGGAAGTGATCGCTTGCGTGTGACGTCACTCAATATTTACACGGAGATTTCGGAAGTTTTACCTTTTACTAAACATATTTAGATATACCAAAATCGTCTTTCATTGCGGTTTCCCGTATATCTAAATATGTTTAGTGAAAGGTAAAACTTCCGAAATTTCTGTATAAACCAGAGTTTCCGCTAGAAAAAAATGGTGCCGGTCAAAGTGACCGGCAGAGGTTTAGTTTAACGGACATTTTGATGATATGCCGCCGGTCAAATATCGCCTCTTAACTAATCAAGTTGAGGAAAACTGGAGGCAGGCTATGTAACTTAAAAAATGACAATCAGACCGTAGCCTATAGAATGCACCGTTTATTAGCATAACTTTCAAATAGACGGAAAACATGAACGTCCGATTGGCGTTAATCAACGGCAATTGTTTTTACTATGGTTTCACATTAGTTTAACAAACCAACCCCCCTTCCCCACATACAATATCTGAATAGTAGTTTTTACTCAAGCGAACTTAATTATATACACTCTCAGTAGCGTCTCATTTAGCTGGTAACATTTAAATTGGCCACCGTGAAATCACTCCTTGTCAAATTAATTGGAACAAACAAATGACTAGGCCTATAACAATGTCTCGCGTAATTTTAGGCTACTTTTTACGCTGTTTTGCAGTGCTGAAATGTGCAGCTGCCGACTTAAAATCAAAACTTCACAGTGTCTCTCCACAACTTGCAATGCGCATAAGCCGCGTCTGCAAGGCGACTTCGCTGCTTCGTCTTGATCCGATTCTGCAGTGACAACCCCCTCTCTGCAGGAACAAAGACGGGGATTATACAGGCTATCTTGGCGAGCTTGGTCCACTCTGGATAGATTTCGTTGAAATCTATGAGGACCTCGCAGGAAACTACTTTGAAAATCGTGCCGTCTGAACTTGGCATAACTTACATTCGCAGCAGAGCATGTGAGCGGAGTGGAGCGTCTCCACGTCTTTTCCCCGCCTGACTAAAGTTGCTTGTATTATATTCAGCATCCCCAAGCGAGTCTGCGAGCGCAGAGAGGGTTTTCTCCGCTGCTGGCCTGCTTTCAAGAAACCACCGCATGTGTCTGAAGCCTCAGACATTGTCCAAACTCGTGTTCTTGAAGGTGAACTCAAAAGAACTGTAGGCTAGATAAGGAAAGCAAGTCTTTAGTTTTTTGTAAGGTAAGGCTGTGGTCTAACCTAAAAGTGAAATAAAAATACATGCAGATTTTTTTTTTCGTTTTTTGGAGCAAGCGGGGGGCGATTTAAGTGGATTGAGCACTGAACGGGGAGCGCTTTATGAACGTTCTGTAACGCGCGAGCATGTGCTGGGAACAGTGATTTGATTATTGATTATACGAGGTTGAACTGGCCGTGTGACAGAGCGGGCATAAGATGGACACGAGCGAGAGTTCGCTGGCGAATTTAATAACGCGGAGCGTTATTAACCAATTGATCCATATATAAGGCGCTCCGGATTATAAGGCGCACTGTCGTTTTTTGAGAAAATTTAAGTGCTTTTAAGTGCGCCTTATAGTGCGGAAAATACGGGTACATGCCGTCTTTAAATAAATGCACAAAATACACATTTTTATTTAGATTTTACATTTTTAGTAGGCCTAATCTAATAATGTCATGTAAGGTTAAATGTTAGAAAAATAAATAAATAAATAAGGACATTTTGCCATAAAAGTGGACGTTTAATAAACCCGTATAATATGACCCGTATAATAAATCAACAGATCCTACTTACCACTATGTGTCTGCAGATATCTAGGGATTCAGAAGGGCATCGAGGCAGTGAAGTAGATCCATGCAATCCTCGGGGAACCGATTTTGCAAGGCATCTATCAGATGTTGAACATAGCGTTCCCTGGCTTTTTTGAAAGCTTGAATGTAGCGGTCGCTTGAATTGGTCACTTTGACGTCCTTGTATCTGTGCCGTCTTTAATAACATTCAAACGGTAGAACCTGTTCCTTTATAACATAGCCAAAGGTCATGTATTTTTTTTAAATTTATATATTTTAGGCTTATTCTCTAATTCAGATTGTGTTAGGGGGGCGGGATTATTAGGCAATTTTAATCGGACAATTTGACCGGAGAGATTTAATTTTGTCGGACATTTCATTTTTTTCCCGGCCAATGACCGGTAATTACCGGACAACGGAAACCCTGGTATAAACACAGAGTGACGTAGTCGCGCAAGCGATCACTTCTGGCGCATGCGCAAACCGAAGCGCCCATGCCGTCAGATCATTTTGTCATGGCTATGATTACTAGAGGTAAAAACGATATAAATACTGTTCGTTTTCTTACAAAAACCGCTCGTTTCGTGTCTTAGGCCGTCAATGTGTACTTACATTTACGAGTCATTAGATCATGTTTTATTTTGACTTCTCTGTGCATGCTTTTTGGTGGACCCCGTTAGCCTCCAGTGTATGACTGATAGACAACAACGGTTTGGGGTTCTAATGTGGGTGTTGGGGTGATAATGTTGGGGTGAATTCATATGTTCGCTTACAGCATATCACTGGTCATGTATTTCAAACTATTACCCCTAAACGAAATAGAACTTTGCTGTGAGTATATTTGGGCCTTTACCGGTCAAAAAGACAGAAACCTACAGGTTGATGCCAATAATTAAAAACTGTCCAGTGTTCTTGTTCCAGCTATAGTGGCAGGCCCATTTTGCCAGGGGGTGTGGCCCATGAGTGATATTCCCATTGGCCACGCCCCCTTAACCCAGGTGTTTAAACCTCCCCAAATATTATAATATGAAAGTCTCCAATTAGAGTGGCAAAGTGAACCGAAGTCACAGCTTGCAGCGCTTCGCATTGAAAAGTTCAAAGCATGAAGCGAAGAGATTATCTATCTATGCTTAATGTATTATATCTATGCAGTTTGAGCCTTTTCCCTTAAAGGTGCCAAATGGGATTTTAAATCAAATCATACAACATGTTCCATACCAGATGGGGGCAGTATACCTCCAGAAATACCTCCACGGCCACGCGCTCTCTCATGTCTTCAAACAATATGGGCGAGTGCTGTGTTGCTCTGTCTCCCTCGTGCATATTAATCAAATCAATTGACGCGATAGTAAAAGGTTGGAAGACCGCAGTTTCACGTGGAGCATTTGGAGATTTTCAGAGATTAGAGACTTAATGAACAACATCTCAATACTAAATTATAAGGGCCGTCTCATAGACAAGTCGGTGCATTTCGACGATATGGGAAAATTAAAGCCCAGGCTATTATTTCTAGTTTTATGATATTCGATTTGTTCATATTACATTTTTATCATTAGTTTGAATTAATTTGACAGACAGCATTACCTGATGTGGACCAAGCTAGCGTCTTTCAGAGCTGCCAACTCTCACAACACTTTTCACACACTTTCACGCCACACATCAATTTTGTCATGCACAGAAAAGGACACGGAGACCGATGTCAGCTCTCAGATTCTGTTCATTTTATTACGCAATTCAAACAATAAATACAGTATTGGCACTTTACACGACAGATCCCTAGCGCACGTGAACCGATCATCTCTACTAGCTAATGGTAAAAGAACACGAACACTGTTGAAAGATACAGTATGCTACAACTTACCAAAATGTATTCCTCATGCATAATATCGACCAATCATTTTTTTTTTTAACTCTTCCCTGAACTGAAATGTAGTAGGGGGCTGTATTTTCCACACGACTGACGTCAGGTTCAAGTACACACAAGCTGGCGCGAGCGCGACTTACTCGTGTACTGCAGTTTGGCTGGTGGTAACGTTGCCCGCCCGCATACCGCCTCCCATGGTCGAAACTGGTATTACGACACCTAACGGGCCGGGGCTAGTAATTTAGCATGCTAATTCAGGTTAATATCTCGGCAGCACTATAACTTGTCAGTTTTTTAATGACATCATCAACCTTATTTCTTCTCAATCTTTTGATGCGTGTTGCTCATTTTTGGGATATTTTAACCTCAATTTTTACAGATGGCACCTTTAACAGTTATACATTTCAGTTACAGTGTGCATGAAGAACAATACATAGCGCTCTCTACTCCAGTGCTAAATCTAACAGACACCTCGGAAAAAGGAATATGATTTAGAAAGCGCTATGAACTCCTGCAAGAAAGTCATTTTATGCAAACCATAGACTTAAAAATAAAGAATAATAATGGGAACATTGATCTTGAAGAGAGTGTCGTCGTGTTACTATCGTAACTGAACGTGACGCGCTGTTTGAATGCTGAATGGAGAATGACTGATGAGAGATGAGTTTCCATTAACTTTAACTTAAAGACTTAAATATTCACTTTAACCTCTAATTATGCTATTGAATGACTTTAGAAGTCTTGGAACATAGTAATGACACTACTGTCAGATATCTGCATTGCTGATATATATTGGTTAATTGCTAATCTTTTCACTCTTCTTTTCCAGGGCTTTGTGTCTTTCCTATTACCCTGCTTTGCAGTCGACCATCTTTACCTCTCCTCGGATGAATACCTGTTTTCTGAAGAGGAGACTACAATTGCTGAGGGTCAGTGTTTGAGAAACTGTTTCATGAAGTCATCGTTACTAAATGATGAATAAAATCGCAAAATGGCTCTTAACAATTACTAAATAAACTGTAAATTGTTACGTTTTCTAATACATGAACAGTAATTCAAGCACGGATTGCTTCTGATATTACTGCGCGAGTTTGCTGCATTATCTGCGGGACACCCTTAGCATCTTAGCCAGTGTTCAAAGCGCAAAATGCTAGTAAAAAACGCCATTGTAACTTAATGAATTTTGACAATACATGGTTGTGAGGATGTGAGATGGCTCAGTGCCTTCATCAAATTGCAACGATTGTGATGTAATTATATATATAGTCTGATACACTGCATTTTTCAGAGTAAAGGACAGGAGTTTCTATTCACAGTAAATGCTACACTGGAAGTGTGTTTGAGCCGCCTATAATTACGGTTGGGTGCAGAGTACCTCTATGACCAGTATGTGCCGTACTGGAAAGAATCTGAACTAGAGATCACGTTCCAATACCCTTTTTCTCTTCTCGATACCGATTCCGATACCTGGGTGTGTATCTATACAATTCATACTAGCCCTGTATGAATTGATAGAATTATTTTATGGTGTGCTTCAGACTTATCTCTTAATAAAACATGAACAAATACATACAGTGAACTAGAGTATGTTTAGAATCTGACATTTAACTTTTCTCTCCATTTGAATGAAACTTCCAGAGATTGTTGATTCTGGCGCGGATCATCCTTCTCTGCCCTTGCCATCGTGTTCATCTTCAAATGCGTCTGAAGTGTTGAAGCTGCTAATCTTGTGCCACCCCTCAAAATTGCAGTTTGGCATATGAGATGTCGTCGTTTTACTGGCTGGTTGGTCCAGTCCTAAATACTGCCAAACAGTGGACTCTGCTAGCGCGAGCACGCTTTTTCTTCTTCGCTGCTCTAAACAGTGGTTGCTTGTGGCAAGAGCACAATTTCCTGTGTTGCCACAAACAACCACTGTTTAGAGCAGCGAAGAATTATTGATCTCCGGTTTGCAGCGTTAAGCAAAGCTAGCATAACTAGTTATTTTTTAAAGGGATACTCCACTTTTTTGGAAATAGGCTCATTTTACCACTCGTTAAAAAGTTGAGTTTTACTGTTTTCGAATGTATTCAGCCGATTTTTTTTATATATATTTAAAAGAAACCAGACAGTTTCTGGTCTCATTGACCATTGTATATTTTTTTCCTACTATGGAAGTCAATGAGACCAGAAACTGTCTGGTTACTGATATTCTTCTAAATATCAGAAAATCGGCTGAATGGATTTGAAAACGGTAAAACTCAACTGTTTAACTCTGAGGGAGTGGTAAAATGAGCCTATTTCCAAAAAAAGTGGTGTATCCCTTTAAGAGAAGTAAAGATGCACTGATTGATCGGCTGGTGATCAGAATTGGCCAATTTTCACGTGATCGGCCATGACATATGCCGATTTTATGCCTGCCCGTCAAATGCATTCGGGCGGCGCATGATTAACGTTGCGCATCAGTATCACACGTGCACAGACTGCATAAGGAATGCACATGTAGTAAACCTCGTGAATTAAGGCCGTCAGCGCGTGAGCGTCGAGCAGGAGCATGTTAATCACTGAGTGCATTCATGCTCACCAGCGTTCACACTCAGTGAATGACGGGGCGGAGCGGTGCAGCAGCAGTGAAACGCAGTTTTTGGCGCATGCATGTCTGAAGTAGGCTAGTCTATGTCAAAAAAGAAAATGAAGACTTAAAAATATTTACATAAAATGTACCCATTTAAACTGTTTTTATTATTTCCCAATCGTTTCCCTGCATTTGCTCCACTTGACCTGTTTAGCCTGGCTGGACAAGTGTCAGATGAGAGAAGAACTGATTGAGAAATAAAACTTGCCATTGATGAACAAGTGATTGCAATAAGCCTATGTGTGTGAGAGAGAAATATCTACATACTGCAAGGTTTTGTTTATTTGAAATAAAATGCTATTAAATTTCAATTTAAATGCTAATATATCATTTTTTTATCTCTGTACTTTAAATGTGTGTGAATTTTCCACACCAGGAGTAATTTATAAAGTTCTGTTTTATAGTAATTATCTGTTCAAAATGTTCTATGCAAACTGTTCAATTAAAGAGAAGATAGAAAATACATTTTTGTGTGTGCTGTAAAGTGGTTTGAAAAAATGAAATCGGAATCGGCTAAAATCGGTATCGGCAGGTCAAACTCAAGGAAAAATTGGAAATCGGGATCGGCCTAGAAAACTGTAATCGATGCATCTCTAAAGAAAAGGGTATCGGATCGGTGCATGGGCAAAAGTACTCACCGATGACAGAATTTCTATTGGTATTTGCGGCATTTCCGTACTAGTACTCTAATCAAAACGCAGATTTCAGTGCCTCATTGAATCGTTGTCACATAACCCTTTGACGCACCCTATCACACCGGTGTCATTAGAATAGGGCTGGGCAAAAAAATCGATTTTTCGATTAATCGTTTTTTAAAATGTGGTCGATTCAAAATCGATTCTCAACGGCCACGAATCGATTTTTTTTCCATATAAAGGGCTCGCGGACGCGGTGCTGCATCTTCTCGTCTCTCTGCACTAGGCAAGCGCTAAGCGCTGCAGCTGTCGATACACACACGCGTTTAGGAGTCGGGACATGGCGGAATATTCACTTGCACAATCGGGCCAGCATTGCATCGTAACCTATGAACGTAACTAACATTTATCATTCATTTGCTCAAGCAATGTTAAACCATCCCGTGCTTGCGCACTCTCAGAGATGTCTTTCACTGCGTGCACAGTAACGTTACAGCCTAAATCTGCCTCACAAACAGCTCGCCAGAAACAAAAGTTTTATCCCTGGATTATATCGCTTTAACAGTTAAAACACGCGACATTATGTCAAAACTCTGGTCTTGGTGAGTAACCTCGTAAAGACAGTCGGTAATGTCTTAAATTAGCATTAAACGCGTGTGACAGAAAGAAACAGTAATGGATTCGCACACTAGTTCTTAAAGTGAACGCAGCCATTTGTGTCAGTCATTAATTCTGTTGTCATAACAACAGAATATAGTATTAATTGTAAGCAATCAGAATTAATAGCCTTTGTATTTAATTCAGTCTGGACTAAAAAGACTATCCAGTGTTATTTTACATTGGATTACTTTATTCAGTTTCTGTAGTATATCTGACATACCCAAAAAACTTCCCCAAAATGTCTCTTAATTTATTTGTGCTACTTTTTTCAATTTAATTCAAAGATTGAAATCAAGCATCCATACATAAACTCTTAACAAAAAAAATACATTAACATTTAGGTAAGATCAATGTAAAAAATGTCTAAATATTTATATATTTATCTATCTTAAACATAAAATAACATGATACTGTTTGATCAAGCTGTGCGACTGTTCTGTGCGACTGTGCGACTCTTTTTTGCATATTGCATCAAAATCTTTGTATGCATTTAGTGTACCTAAAATAAAAAGTGTTTTATATATAGGTTTATGGCTCTTAATTTTCTTGTATTAATTAACCACTAGTAAACTTATGTCCACTGTTCTTTTTTATAAATTATAAATATAGGATTTTTATTACATCTTCATTATAGTTGAATCGAGAATCAAATCAGGAATCGAGAATCGAAAATCGAATCGAGAATCGAAATCGAATCGAACTGAGAGCTTGCGAATCGAAATCGAATCGAAATTGAAATGTGAATCGATACCCAGCCCTACATTAGAAGTTTCAGTGCACCACATGATCACCTGCTAAATTCAAATGTGCCGTTTTGGGTGTCAGGGTTTTCTTCTTTTTTGTCTTTATCTGATCACATGCCTTTGATTAGACTTGGATGTGAGCCGTGACGTCTTGCAGCTGGTTCAGTGTCTGCGCCTGGTGAATGAGTCTCTTCCAGAGGACTTGGCCTATGAGATGGAGAAAGCCCTCGATGACCTACTGTCTCCAGAGAAAGTGTCAGAGAAAATACTGGACAGTCTTCTGGCCAGCGAGTCAGTATGCTTATGTCACTGATTTAATGCAATCAGAATTGATCAGTTTGATGTCTAAAGTGAAATGTTCTCTTCAGGGTGAATGTAATTCAGGAGATTGAAAACAAACTGCAAGACATCTTTAACCCCATTGTTGCCATGAACACACTCCTCCGAGAACTGGACCTTGAAGCTGATGCAGAGACGGACACCAGACCTACTGGTACCATTAAATACTCCTTTTTTAAGGGTTCTGTGGTAAATATCTTGCTGTCTGAGATTTTTAAAGGAATACTTTACCCCCCCCCCCCCCCATTTACTTGACTTGTGTCATTGCAAGCATGTATAACTTGCTTATACATTTACATAAGAACAAAAAGAAGGAACGTGTGAGGGCTAATTTCTATAAAGACCCATTAAAATTTGTAAAAAAAAAAAAAAAAAAGTTATTCACCAGTGAGAAGAATGGTATTTTTCATCTAGGGTTGAGCTAGAGAGATAATTGGAGGAAACGCATACAGATGCAAAAAGGCATGAGCCTATGTCAATTCCATCAGACATCCCACCTATCAATCCACCAGAATACCAAATGGAGGTCAGTGCACTGAAGTGGAATGAGGTAGAGCAGGCTGTGAGAAAGGCAAGGGCTTCATCATCTCCAGGGCCTAATGGAGTGTATAAGAGTGCTTAAGGAGTTCTGTGAATTCTGTGGAAATTGATTGAAAGTGGCATAACAGGTTGTGCTTAGAGCATTAGGTGCAGAGCAGGTGGAGTCTTTATACCTAAAAAAGATGCTACAAGCATCAGTCAGTTTCGTCCTATTTCACTATTGAGACCCAGAGATTGTCCACCTACCTATTAAAGAATGGCTTCATTGACACTTCAATTCAAAAAGCGGGCATTCCAGGGTTCTCAGGATGCCTAGAACTTATCAATGTTATCTGGCAACAAATTCAGTCAGCAAAAAAGGAGAGGAAGGAGCTCCAAGTGACATTCCTGGATTTGACTAATGCATATGGTTCAGTGCCACATGAGATTCTTTGGGCAGCATTTGATTTTTTCATAGTACACAATTTAGTGAAAGCCTAAATTTTGGAGATTTGCAATTTAGTTTCTCGAATCCAGAATTCAGCACTGTATGGCAATGCTTAGAGGTTGGAATTATGGCTGGATGCACCATTTCTCCACTGGTTTTTACCATAGAAATGGAAGTAATCATTGGGGCATCAAGATGGGTAGTAGGAGGTGAGCGCTACAGGGCTCCAGACTGCGACCAAATTTTGAGAGTGTGCGACTGGTTGTCCGTGGTTGTAATACATTGCATATACAATAAATATTTTGAATATTTACAATAAAAACACCATGGTTTGACCACACAATGCAATTCTTACTTTGAATGTCTCCCTTACACAACATATACTATATAAATACAGACAAAAAAATACAATAAAAAGTGCAAATATGCTTTGTGCAACAATCAAGGTATCAGTCAGTGAAGATATTAGGAATTTGATATTTCATGCGTTTAGGAATTTCATGAATTTAATTATAAACTGTTTGAGTCTTTTTGTCCTTCATTTGCCCCAGACGGCAGACGTGTTAACATCATCAGTAAATATGTAATACCACAATTACAGTATAGAGGTAAATAATTGGCAATTATGACTTTTGTCATAATCGTGAAACTCAAGTTCTAGCATACATCTGTAGTGTTTGTGGTCACAATCTGCTTTTGTTGAGGGGCAAACAACTGAATGTTATTATTGTGTTCTGTTCTTTTGTCTTTCGTGGATTAAAAGGGGATAGTTCCACCAAAAATTTAATTTACCACATGATTTAATCGCCCTTAATTCATTTAAATGAGGTAATTTTCATTTTTGGGTGAACTAACCCTCAGAATGACTATGGGGTGATTTAAATGATGATTTCTTTTAATATTAGACTGAGCTATTCCTCTAACCAGTACTGATGTGATGTTTGCGCAGGTCAGTCTCTGAGAGTGCGTATTAGTCTCTCTCAGCTGTACGGCAGCAGTGTGGCGGCTAGTCTGATCTGTCAAGCTGTGTGCCAGACTGCCATGACCCGAACTCTCCTCTGCAGAGATCTGCTTATCCTGCAGCAACTCTACCTGCGAAATGGAGACAATGTGAGTACACACTTGGCATGTGTCAGTCACACCTGAAATTGTCATTTAAATGGATGGTACCCACCCTCAGGCCATCCGAGATGTATGTGACATTTTTTCTTCAGTAGAAATGTAAAGAAGATTTTTAACTAAAACCATGGTGCTTGGTGAATCATATAATGCAAGTCAATGGCTACTACCATTACTAGGGTTGGGCATCGTTTTGATTTGAACGATTCTGATTCCGATTCTTCACAATTAGCAATTTGGTAAAGTGCTTTATTACACTATGATCACTTACCTGATTGTGACGAGGTCGTAACTAACGTTGGGTAGCGAAGTGTTGCCCAAGGACGACAAGACAGTGGACCAGCGCAGCACGTCCAACACGCTACACTCCTTGTTAATTTGTACACCATGCCGGCACAGGCGTAATTTGTGGGTGGGACATGTCCCCAGACTCTCAACCACTTTTTTGTCGATATTGTCCTCACTAAAAACATCTTGTGGCACGGATGTACCAATACAAATAAATAAATCATCTCCAGTTAACTAGCAGAGCATTAAATTAGTTCTTTTGTTAAATAAAATGCGATCTAGCGCTAAAATGTGGAGTTTTTTTTAATCAAGTGATCAAAGTGCTGGTTGCCACTGCGATCAGTGGTGCGGATACTTAACTTCTCTGATGGGCCGGCACAGTCTTATCTCGGATGTGCGCGTCAATCGCATTGTGGAGACTCTTTCGCTCCAGCGAAATCACAAAACAAATTGCAAACAAATGTTTCCCTGCTTGATTTACAACCACTGATGAAAAAAACTATTCAAGTGCGGATTAGAACCCAAAACCTGTGACGTGCATGGCAAAAATTCTGCCACTGGACCCAATTACGTACACACGCAAATCGTAGGTATATTTATTCAAATGGAATGAAAATCACTGTACTTGCCCAGGCTTTTTAAGCTGAAATAAAGCCACACTTTTTAGCACTGCTTACTGTGCTCCACGGCTGCAACAGAACAAGCGGCCGTATATTTGTTTATATACAAATAAAAGAATATTACAGTCAATTCTACACTGAATAGGCAGCCAGTGAAGATCTCTTAGAATTGCAGTGATGTGATTTTGGACTTGACTTGGAAATACCGCAATACAATGAGTTGCAGTAGTCTAAACTAGAAGTAATAAAAGCATGAACAGCCATCTGTAGTGTTTTGTCAGTTAGTAAGTGTTTAATTTTAGTTGATGATGACTAGATCCAATTAGCGAAGATATGTTTTAAAGGCTCATCTAAAAGGACACCCAAATTCCACTGCTTAGATCTAAATGCAGATAAGCTCCTCAAATTGATGCTTGTGGTCTTAAAATTGTCAGTGGGGCCAAAAACTATATCCTCAGTTTTATCTTCATTTAAAGATAAAAAGTTTTGAGCAAGCCCAGATTTAACCCCATCTAAGCATCCCATCCCCAAAATAAGTTAATGCTGACTGATCATTTCTCTTGATATGTAAATATATTTGAGTGCTGTCCGCATAAAAATGGAAGGCAACGCCATGTCTTCATAAATAGAACCCAAGGGTAGCATGTACAGCGAGAAAAGGGAGGCTGCCAAGTAGGGCTGAACGATTAATTGCATTTGAGATAAAATCGCGATATGATGAAATGCGATTTTGTAATCGCAAGAGCTGTGATTACACTGGTCACGTGACACGCGGGAGCAGTCCAGTCTGCGAGATCAAGCATTAACTTGCCACTCTACGCGGTCTGACGTTCAGAAAAGAACAGTTTATTTTTAATGTATGTGATATTATGTTATTTATTCTCTCCCCAACAATTCTGGATCGATTCAGAGAATTTCAGAATCGAGTCTGAGGTTAGTTTTTAAACACAGATGCGTAATGACGCTGCGCGTGAAACGAACCGTGTTCTGCTTGCTTCTATTCTCTCTCTCTCTCTCTCTCTCTCACACACACGACACCGCTCGAATCTTCCGAAACATAGTAACGTTATTTCATAAAGTTCGGGGTTGAACCGAATTACAAGGACATTCGTGGGCTTCATTGCACCGTTTTGCTGCTTTGCTTGATGTTATACTCTTGCAGTGCGCGTTTTCTCCCGCGGGAATTTTTCCTTACAAATGCTTCACAGAGTCTTTATTTACGTCTTTTGGAATGCACTGCAGTTGGCTTATATATTTAAACTATGAAAATCACTGAAGGCTGCTTTCATTTTAAAATACCAACGCGCGCTTTATGAAGAACGCTCGTGCATGCGTCCGACTCATTGGTTAAATGTGCATAAACTTGCATGTCAAAATGCTTTTATGACGCGAAATTAATGTAAACACGTTCAGTTCTTAAACCAACAGGGCAAACCACGTTTACAATTTCAAGAGATATGTGCATTAGTGTGAATGCAGCTCATCATATCTAAACTAAGGGGGAAAATCACTCCACCTCTTGAATGATAAACATTCAGACAGCCTACTTTTAAATACTGAGACCACTCTTTCTTTATTGCTTGTAATGCTTTTTTTGTTTCTCTTTATTTACTAGCTTTTATATTTTGAAGATATATTATTTTATAAAGCCTATTTAAAATTCTTAACATTGGTTTAATTGAATGTTTGTTTTATAATTATTTTTTAAAGTATGTGTTTTTACACATGTAATTAAATACATATTTTAAGTGTTATTAAGATTAATTAATAAAAAAAAAAGTAGATCGGATCATGAGCTGCCTAAAGATTCCCATCCCTAGTGTACAATGATTTATTGCTTGTCTTTTTTGACTAATACAGAAGGTAAAGAACTTTTTTTTGAATCGCATATTAAATCGCAATCGCAATATTGGTTAAAAAAATCGCAATTAGATTATTTTCCATAATCGTTCAGCCCAAAATTGTTCAACACAGGAGGAACCAGAGAAGGCTTCTTGAGCAAGGGATTAACAGTAGCCGCTTTGAGATTATCAGGAACAGAGTCGGTAGAAAGACACTTAAGGTGTTGTAATTGTAACCAATTGATTCCTCTCGCGGTTCAAACAAACAGGGCTGGGCAACCACGTTTTTCATTACGTTGTGCGTCAAGTTCAAGGGTTACTCGTTGGCTTAAATCGATGTTTGCGGCCGTCTGCCGGAAGCTAGTTATTTTAGTCGATACAGTTTTAAATATAGATATTTTTCTCACACAAACGCATCGCTTCACTTCACAAGGCCTATATTAACCCACTAGAGCAGTTTGGAGCACTTTTATCATGAATGGATGCACTTTGATGGACTTCCAAAGTAATACAGCCATTCAAAGCTTGGAAAAGCCTGGGCATTTTTTTATATAATATAATTTATTGTATTCATCTGAAAAAAGATGATGTCATATACACCTAGGATGGCTTCAGGGTGAACTGAATTTTCATTTTTAGGTGAACTATCCCTTTAATCTTTAATAATTGGTCACTTCTGTACAATTGAAATGATACAGCAGCTGTCATTTCTTGAGCAAGAATATGTGAACATCAAAACATGCAAACTCTGAACGAGGGTTTAAACTTTTATTTTGAAATTGCGCTGAACAACAAATCACTCCGAAAACCTGCATATATGTTTTTAATTTAATTGCAGCCTTTGCGATTTCGCAATAACACTGTTGTTAGAAAACGGTCTAATAATGCAAACCATTGATTCTCGTCTGTGGAATGCGCCACTTCTGGTAATTTGCCGGTTAAACAACATGGGTAAATTGCAATAAATGATTTTTTTTTTTTTTTTTTAAATCGAGCACTCAAATTATCCAGAAATCGTGACAGCCCTATCTTGTAACGAATGTCACTTCAGTTCTACTTACTGAGTGTGAGACAGAACAGCAAAATGCAAGCAATGTAAAAAAAGGTACTGCCACAAACCCAACCCCTTCATGCTGATTTAGTGAGACGGCTTTCATCTCGACAAAAAATATCATCATAATTTAAAAATGAGAGATCATCTTGTGGGATTAGATCTCATCTCACCCCTAATTATTACCTGTAATTCAAAGCCTCGGCAAACCATCCTGAGCACGGTTGATGCAGACTTGAGCGCAAGCATCCTGTCACATTATGATGTACACTATTGTGATGTTATTTTTTAAAATTAATAATATGACCTGATGAAATATTGATTAACCAGTTAACCTTCGGGCAACCGACGGCGCTCTGAAGCCCTCCCCCCCCCACTAGTTTAATGTTTATGAATGGATTTAACATGAAAGAAGATCATTAATCTTGGCAAACTATATATAATTTTAAAGGTCTAAGCCTCGGGCATCGATGTCAGTGCACTGTTTTTCGATGGAAAGCTTATAACAAATGTATTTCTTGCATTTAGGTAAGCAGTACACATAAAAACGCACGTAAACAAAAACGGAGTACTCACCATTATTTTGTAATAACGAGCCAGACACGCATCCACTGTTAAAAATTCCAGATTGAATGGAAAGCTGAGGGTCCACTGAATAACATCCCATAGAGCATTTTTTGTCCAAAGAAAAAATAATGTTGTAATATCCATGGTTATTCCTTTGTTTACATCGCGTTTCTTCAGGGTGAATATCATGCGGTTTTGTTATGCAATAAAATAGTCCATAGAAAACAGACTCCCGGTAGCAGACCCTTATATGGGTGTGTTGCTTAGAGTGTAATGAACAAATTACGACCGCGCACACACACACAAAAACAAAGATAAGCGATATCTAGTTCAAAATATGCAAACACTGCAGTCCGTTTTTTTGACGTCATGATATGCACATCATATCATTCTGTCTTTACAACGAAAGCCAATAAAAGAAACGACATGATATGACTGATAAAACATGTAGCCAACCAGTGCACGATTCCAACGATGCCCGGGAAGTTTGAATTTCTCACACGAACATATGTTTTTATTTGCTCTCCGTCCGGTAGAGGAGCTAAACTCAGGCTCTGCAGAGCCACAGCCACACCCACCGCTGTCATGTTTTGACAGGCCTGCTATAGCTAAGAGCTAAGATAACAAGCTAAGAGGTAGCTAACAAACATCTGTTCGTGCAGACATACAGACTGTCATAAAATGATTTGTCAAAAGAAGTATTTTTCTGCTGAAGTAGTTATTCGAGATCACTCGAAGATGGATTATGTCGACATTGATGAGAAGATGAGTGATGAGAAGATCGTGACGACGGTGATAATTATGCTTGAGGGCGGAAAAGATTATCCAATTTTCGGTGAGTTGCTTTATACATAATTTATGTAACATGCACACATTATACGTATGTGTGTATGTGTGTGTGTCTGTCTGTGTGTGTGTGTGTGTGTGTGTGTGTGGGTGGGTGAGAGAGAGAGAGAGAGAGTGTGTTTGGTTTCCAGTTGTTTCATACGGAAAATGCATTGTGTAAAGTTGTGTCTGAAAAGATTATGCTACTTTATATGCATTTATTTATTTGTATATATGTATTTATATGCGTTGTACGGTTATGCAGTTGTTTGCCGTTTTTTTCTGGCACATGTGGTGTGCTATCTGAAAGATGGAGGGGCTGGACACCTGTGAAATATGTTTTTACAGTCTAATATACATAATTTTTATAGTACAAATGCAAATATTTGTACTGTAAATATGATGTATGTTGTACTGTAAATGTATATGTTGTATGTATGTATATATATATATATATATATATATTTGTTTTGTTTGTTTGTTTTGCAGAAATTAGTGGTAAGAATTGCAGAAAATATGTGCTATATAGGAAGGAGTTGTATGCTTTCAAAATGGCACATTCCTGTCTGATGGCCGGCCATCAGTGTGATTGTTGGTTCTTTGTCTGGTCATCCATATGAATGCTGTCTATATCACTGGCCATCACCGGCCATTGATTGTTGATCGAATGGATGAGCTTTAGTACGAATGCTGTGTAAACGACTGCCCATCAGTTTGATTGTTGAATGAATGGCCAGCTATATAGAAACTGAACAGAATTATTTACTTGACATGCAGTGCTAATTATCTTTCCATTCTTTCCCATGCAACAGCCATCAAGTTGAATCTTCAGATGAAGAATGGCATCCAAGCACCAGCCAGAGATGCAAGCTCTCAGTTTCTTCACTATTCTTCACTTTTTCCATACTTTTCAGAACATTGCAATTGACAAGAGGATGGTGGCATCAAAAGCTAGGAATGGACTAAAGCAATATATGAAGGCCAAGCCAACAAAGTACAGTATTTATATCACTTGTATTTTCTATGGCAAAGAACCTCAGTTATTTATTTTTTATATTTCATAATATTTTACTTATGTATTTTACATATATTTTTTTGTTCTGTTGTGCAAATAAATCACTTGCATAAAGTCTAATGGTTGTGTGTATTATTTTATAATTGCATTATTTTATGAATTGACTGAAATAGCTTGCAGTGCCCTGCATAACATTTGGTCATTAGGTTGCTTTTTGATGTATCCAAGGAGGTTTCTTGGTACCTGGACATAGTCTTGGAAAAAATATTGTAGGAATCTCATTTTTCATAATATCTTCCTCAAATTTGAAATATAAACTGATGAGACTTATGTCTTTCAATCAATTACCTAACTGGATTCCTACAGGTTTGTTTTCATTTATTTTTACATGAAATTGTAAAATATTACATGCAGTATAAATTATCTTCAAGACACTTTAAATTCTATAACTTTTTGTCTGTGTAAGTTTTTTCAACTTTAACAGTTGGTTAATACACTCTAAAGTGTCTTCTTTTTAAACATGTCTAAATTGTGCATGTAGTGCAAATAGTTGAGCAACTGCAAATATTTTAGTTTGGGCATGTTATTTCTGGGGATGTGCCTCAGGCAGGGGGAGGGAGAAAGGGAACTGACATAGTCTTGGAAAAAAGTTTGCAGGAACCCCATTGTTCATTATATCTTCCTCAAATTTGAAATATAAACTGATGAGACTTGTGGCTTTCAATCCTTTATCTATCTGAATTACTCCAGGTCTATTTTTATATATTTGTACATGAAATACTAAAACATTTTTGTGGCGCACATTATTTTTGAGGCACTTTTAACTTTTATAACTTTTTTTCTGTTTGAGCATTATCAAATCTGATTGATTGTTAGTAGAGTCCCAACTGTCTTCTTTCCAAAGATACCTTAATTGTGCCTGTGGTACACTGTTCTCAGGAGCTGTATTTATTGTTATCCAGGCATGTCATTTTCAGCTGTGAGCCCCCTTGTGGAGCTGAAGGTTAACAGGTTAAATGTAGAGGATTTTTGGACTGTAAAACACTGGATCTGGATTGAGAATGTAACAGTGCTGTTTATATGTATTTCTTCCCTTGTTGATTGATAACTTAAAAATCTGGTGTTCACTGATCTTTTCCCCTAAAAGACAAAAAAAATCTGTTTCTAACCTTTTCAGGTTTTCAATACTGTTTGCCTATTGTTTGTGTGTGCAGGTGTTTCTTGCAGGCGGTAATCAGTTACTGCAGCTGCAGCAAGACTTGATTCCTCGATGCTCTAATCTGCTTTGCACATATCATCTACTCAAACAGATGAGCTTGACGCTTTCCTCATCCGTCCCACTGGACATACTGTGAGTCCACACGCCACATGGCCCATTCCAGAAAGAAATTAAGATCCAAATATTTGTATTTAAGCTATGATTCATTGCAAATGTGTGTACATGGCTGCCATTATAATAATATTTAATCATTTTTATAGTAACTACATATGCTGGTCATTTATTTTAGTTCATCTTCGATTGTCATAAAATTGTTCCTGGGTTTATTTAAGGTCATTGTTTTGCTTTAGAAATGCTGATCTTCAACATCTGTCTGTTCTGGAGCTGTCTGACTCAATGACTCCTACTTCCAACAGATCAGGTAAAATTGATTGCCTCAATACAGAAACACAGGCTATGACTGATGATGAGGTTGATTGATCCTCGCTGTTTTTTCTTTCTCTCTCTCTCTCTCTCTAGTGTTGAATCCTCAAACTGTTGTGGAGTTGTTCTACCAGAATGTGGCCCGTAAAGCCATCATGTCTCAGATCTTCTCCCAGCAGGATTTGGAGGGCAACCAGAACATGTTGCACTGGCCACAGATGATCTCCAGTGTCCTGACACTACTCTGTCAGTTCCTGTATCCTCTTGATGTGTAGTACGCTGAACGCTGGTGTTGAGACCAACATTTCAGTAGTCTGTACTTGGGGTGGGCGAAATGACCAAAATCGTATTAATATCACGATGGGAGTAATTTTGTTTGACAATAATGATATAGATCACAATATTTATTTATTTTTATTATAATTTAATACCTTTTAAAATTTCATGACAGGGAACCTAAACTCCTTCAGGTGTTTAATATATTGAAATGAGTTCCTTTGCTGTTAATTGCACTTCAACAGTTTAAAATCGCCTGTTTTTAAACCTCAATGCTTTAAAAACAACGCATGCAAACAATAAGCTCTCGACCATATAGCACAGCAACAGTGAGTAACCATGATTTAGGCGATAGTCCAAAGTATCTACAAGATACAAAACTTTTCATCTACTTCCAAAGTTGGTAACACTTTATAATAACTGCACACTATTAATCATTAGCTAAGCATTAATAAACAGTTCATTAATAATTTATAAAGCATTAATAAACAATAATAAGCTGTTTATAAATACAGCTACAAATGCTTTTCTTGATTTATAAGCATATCTATAATGCGTTTATATAATCTATAATCTGTAATCTATAATCTGTTTAACTCCCCCAGAGTTAAACAGATGAGTTTTACCGTTTTTGAATACATTCAGCCGATTTTCTGATATTTAGAAGGATATCAGTAACCAGACCGTTTCTGGTCTCATTGACTACCGTAGTAGGAAAAAATATACTATGGAAGTCAATGGGACCAGAAACTGTCTGGTTACTGATATTCTTCTAAATACCAGAAAATCGGCTGAATGGATTCAAAAACGGTAAAACTCATCTGTTTAACTCTGGGGGAGTGGTAAAATGAGCCTATTTCCAAAAAAAGTGGAGTATCCCTTTAACACAAATCCAGCTGTTCATTGTTTGTTTATGTTAGTTCACAGTGCATTAACTAATGTTAACAAAATTTGAATAAAGTATTAGTAAATGTTGAAAGTAAGATTAACAAATGCTGTATTGTTAATGGTAACTAATGTAGTTAACTAATGAACCTTATTGTAAAGTGTTACTGAAAATTTAAGTAAATGATTAATAAAGTATTTAAATGTACATTCATGCATCTTAAATATTAACTCCCTGAAGTAACCATGATTTACAGTAGAAGTACATGTTAAAGCATTAACACACTAAGTAACTATTACTGTATGTCTGAATAAAAAAGTATGAATGTTGCATTTAAAGTTTATTAATCATGTACTTGTATTTCTAAATTAAGTATTGCATTTAACTGGTAAATAATGCAATACTTCATTTAGAAATGATAAATGATCATTAATAAAGTTTGAAAATACAATTATTAAACACATTCTAGATATGCTATATAAATCAAGAATAAATCATTAATAGCTTCATTTATAAGCTGCTTGTTAACGTCTATTAAAGCTTTATAAATTAATTAACTGTTTACTAATGCTTAACTAATGATTGATAGCGTGCAGTGTTACCCAAAAGGGTAATTTATTTTTCATTCTTAATTTATTCATTTTTATCATTTGAATTTTAAACAATTGTTGTAAATGTCAAGTAATTTTCAACTAACTATATATTCAACTTCAAAACATAATTCAGAACATTCAATTCAAATTTTGGTCTTGACATTGCACATTCCCTTAAGATATGACTGTTGAATTAAAATTGTTGCGTCATACAAGGACAGAGTCTAACACCGCCACATGCCGCAAGTTCACAACACACACACGCTCACCTCTGCACGGGAGCATTAAACAATCGCCTGTCAGTTAGTGAGTTGGGCGTTTTGAATATTAATTCTCTTTTTATTATCGACTTGGTACATCAGCACTTTTGATGTCACTACTTGACACTTGATATATTCAGGCAGTTCTTGTTTGTAAAGTATCTCGGTGATGCTCGTTCACAAGTTCAGTATTTGCCTTGCATCATTGTACTAGCTGGCCCAGCAATCCCAGTTTCCTCTTCCCTGAATGCCTGATGGGAAACTGCCAATATGCACAACTGCAGGTGAGAAACCAGTATCTAATGATACATAACTAATTTCCCAGATTGCACATGGTCTTCAAAAAAAATGCAACAGTATTGTGACCATTGTTATGGAGTATAAATTAGCTATTTTTCAGCCGAAAATTTAATTGCATAACTATTTTCTGTTTTGGGCCGAATTGGTTTTGGAGGGTCGAAATCAGTGACTGAATTAGACTGTACAAACATGATCCTCACTGTAAGATCTAAGTTGTTATTAATGTCAGATTGTATGACAGTCGAGACACGTTAAAAACCGATGCTAGCAGGAAAATTTGTCTGGAATTTTACATCAATCAATCACAAGTTCAGTGACCGTGAGCTGCATTACATGGGGCTACAAAGAAATTTCTAACGTTAAAGAGCCCCTATCATGGATTTTTGAAAATGACTGTTCGTATGGTGTGGAATATAGCTCTAAGGGAATGAAAACATCCTGCAAAGATTTATATCTGAAAGTGCACCGTATATAAAGTTATTGTCTTTCAAAAGTGAGAGTCGACTCTGAGTCTATGAAATGAATTGTTTTTGAAACGAGTCATTAGCTGGTTCGTAGTGACGTAGATACATACTGGCGGCGCCCAGTTACTGCCGCGCGCAGAGGGAAGTGTAAACTTGAAGTCTTCACATTCAAATACTTCATCATAGCATCATGTCGAGAAGACGCTGTGTTCTACAATGCAAAGATAGTTCAGCCACTTTGTTTTCATTTACCAGGGACGAGCATGTGAAGAATCGGTGGTTAGAGTTCATATTTGCAACGATACCACAACAGTATAGCCCGATTGTGTTCTCATCATTTTATTGACGAATAACGTTAGTTCAAAAACATAAATGAATTCAAATGTGGATTCGCAAGCGGTTGTTCCTGAAGGAGGGCTCAGTAACTTACTTACCCAGTGTATATGGATCAGCTTCCTCCTATGAATCACAACCTGTAAGTATTATTAATAATTGTTGATTTTATGGGTTTTGAACGGATTTGTTGCGTCGGGGCGCGAGGCAGTATGTGTGTGCGCGTTTATCTGTGTCGGTGTGTGTGTGTAAGTTACGCTCAGCGCAGCTTCTAGGTCTCCAATGTAAATTTTTTTTAAATATGTCAAATGTTTGTCGCTGTTATTGGAGTTGTCATAAAGAATACAGTCGAGCGTCTTGTAGTACTGCAGTGCTTTATCAATATGTTTATGCGTTATGCTAAAAAACAGCTGACTGGGTCTGTCATCTGAACAATCACCGCCGATTAGCGTCACGCAAAGGAGTGGTTTGGAAAAATGAGTCGTTGTACGAATCATTTGGGAGTCGGTCAGCAAATCAGTTAAAAATAAATGCATATTATAAGACAAATAAAGTGTTTTTTTATCCTTGCATGCATGTTAAACTGTTTGGGAACTCCTAAAACAAAAGTAGAAACATTTCAAATGCTATGATAGGGGCTCTTTAATTTTGGTTATGGCGTATCTTGAAGGGGTGATGAACTGAGAAATCTAATTTTCCTTGAGCATTTGACATCTAAGAGGTCATCATATTATAAAAATATCCTGTAAGTTTCAGAACTGAAAACGTCCTTATTAGTCCAATAAAAGCTTTTATTGACACCAGCCCCAGCAAACGACTCGTTTTTAAAAGTGGGGAACTATGACGACAAAGAGGATAAAACACCACCCCCGCAGAAGATCAACGGTTTAGCCCCGCCCACCGATTCTCGATTTACACGCAATCACGCATAGCTAAATAACAGGCCTACCACGTGATGACAAACGGGATCGATCTACCGAGAAATACAAAATATTGTGCAGTGCCTGGTTGTGGAAGACAGTCGCTGCATAAGCTTCCTCTGGATTCCAATAGGACTGCATGGATAAACTTTATATTTAATGACGTTCCAGCTGATGAGGGTAAAACATTGTCGTCTGTTCACTTCATTTCACTGAGGATTGTCCTGTAAACAAGACTGGATTTGCAGACCGATTAAGAGTAAAGAACGGTGATGTGCCGTCTATATTGGATCTGACAGGAATTGTGCAACACACGGACTTTGGGTCGCATCTTTCCGGTTGCCATTTTACAACATTCGACATTTCAAAACAATATCCCCAAGTACATCGACGGGACTCATTATAATATGCAAACCTGTTCTCCACTCACAGCAGTGGGCGTTTACTTCCAAGTCTTCAGTGCGAGATGCCCATAAAAATCCAGCGTTTTTCAGGTAGGCTAAAAACTTGGATACAAAATAGCCTATTACTTATTCATTTTGATGTTATTGAATGCAAAAACCAAGCGAATGTCATAAGTTGACCTCAGACAACAATATAATAAAATTTAAAAAGCCATTTCATGACCCCTTTAAAAAAACGAAAAGAAATTGACCGTCATCATTGGAGAAGTCGCACTGCAGGACTGAGAGGCAAATCTTCTGACACTGCCAGCGTTTCATAAAATTGAATCGCAACGGTCATTAAAGGTGCAATGTGGGATTTTTTTTTAGCGACATCTAGCGGTTCGGTTGCGAGTTTTCACTAAGGGCTCAGCCCACTGCTCACCCCTCCCTTTCGAAGAAGCTACGGTTACTAAAACGGGACAAACATCTCGTCGGCTGAGACAGCAGAGAATAGCCAGAGCAAGCCAAGAGTGTGTAACATTGTCACTGTTTCTGAACCACAGTCCATTGTAAACCACATCATGGATAAAGTTTACAAAGCCATAGTCAGGTGAGGATCAAGGGTTTTAATATATAATTTAATATAATAATAGTAATCAGCTGATTGTTTCACAAACGTAACCAGCAGCACATTTCTCCCCACATAGCAAACTCATAATACAGCGAGGGAGCAGCTATATATTTTTTATATATAGTTTAGCTGGCTAATATGAGCTGTTACTGTGGCTGAGCTGGGACGCGTACCCATGAGTCCAAAGGTCGGAGGTGTGCGCGCTGTTACAATCATGTCATTTTTGACGCGCGCACCTCCGCATCCCATAGATACTATTTACAACTTGGCTTTTTTCTCTGATTTTGAAAAGTCTTCGCGATCGACTTTAGTGATCCAAAAGTCTCTATCGATGGGTTAGTGATTCCTGTAACATACTGTTTTACGGTCAATGACATGAGTACTAATCATCAGCTGTCTCACGAACGTAACAGCACATCTATCCTCACATAACAAACCCTTAACACAGCGAGGGAGAACTAAGTTACATAAAACAATCCCAACTACATATTTTACACCACTCACAAGGGAAAAGTCACTACTCACGGAGTGTAAGGCTAGCTTCCAGCTTTACTTCTCTTTCAAGGTAGTGATGAAACGCGTTCTGTAGCGCTGTTTGTTCGCGTTCGGCTACGGTAGAAATATGACGTCACAACATGGCGACCTTCAGAGAAGGGGATTCCCGCGGTTATGGAGCTATAAATGTCTCATTCTAAGGTAATAAAAACATTACGGTTAATTAAGTAAGTTCTTTATACGCCACTAAAAACATAGTTATGGATGTCATATTGCATTTCTGTTAATAGATACTCAACTTTTTTACACATTGCACCTTTAATCGGCTGTCGGTGAAGATGTTAAACTAACGAATAAAGACTTAAGATTTTAGCCTTGGATCAGAGGAATCTTTTAGGATTCGCAAAATGTATCTCGACAGACCAAATCGTGGTAACGTGGATAAAGTGCACATAAACCAATCATCTCATCTGCTCTTTACTACATCATGAAATAAACATGAATGAACATCAGAAGGTATGTTGAATAAGCCTATAAGCAGGCTTAAGTTTATATGCCAATTTGACATGACATGGTCTACACAAAGATGTGGAATCCATTTTTTATGTAGTGATTTTACTTTCGCCCATCCAAGGATGCAAAGTAAAGTAGTGATTGGTAACCACGTCACAGCTGAAGTTGTGATATTGAACCATTATCAACAACTATCATCAGCTATATTATATCTAATGTAAATTTAAAAGTCATATACTGATAATCGTTTATAAATATTTCATTTATTTGTTTTATGCATAAGTTACTTCACCTTTTTACTGTCAGAGAAACAATCTTTCTGTGAGATAATATAACTCTTCCATAGCCACACTCAAATTAATCACTTGTATTTTATCCATCTTATGTACTTTTCCTCTATTATTCATGGTATCCCTTTATTAGTGGTAGGGATGGGCATGATTAATCGACGATCGATTATTGATCATTAAGAATTTCGTCGATCTCATTTATTTGTTATCAATTATCATTAAACTAATGCTGCTGCGATGCGTAGTTTAAGTGGAAAGTGAACGTGTTCTTTTTTCGTACAACAGCAGCACTCATCTTGTTTGTTTATTTGTGGATGCGGATGACCAGTCGTAGACCGGAAACTGATACGCCAACTTCTGACAAAAGCGGAAGTTCGAAACTACAGTTGTGCACATAGCCCATATGCAGCATACACGAAAATCATTCACCTTTCGGTAAATTCGCCGTTTTGAAACCAAAATAGGTGACCTACGTTAATCGTGTATACTTTATGAAGCCATACTATAGTATAATGTGAGATAGAAATGTATATTTAAGTCATTAAATTCAAGTTAAACTAAGCTTTTCCCTCCACTGCGGCTGTCAGTCATTCTCTATTCGGTGTTAAAACAGCGCGTCGCGTTACATCAGTTAACATGATGATTTCTTTCCAAGATGATTCAATGTTATTATTATAATTGATCCGTAGATAAAGGTCTATGATGGTTTTTCTATCTTGCTAGACTTTTATTGCTGTAACTTAATCACTTTCTACTGAGTGTCTGTTAGATCACAACACTATAGTAGAGTCGGCGCAGTATAATTGTTCTTCACGTGCACAGTAGCCTAACTGAAATTTAAAACTGTTAAAAGAAAAGGCTTAATAAACTATTGCATAGATACTGTATAATACACAGTCAATATGTCTTTCTCTTTCCTTGGTGCTTTTAACTTTAATGCGGCGGACACTGAAGAGCTGCGCTCCGCCCTGTGACTCCGTGTTGCTTCAAGCGCATCATTCAGCGCTCGCGATGCGCATAAGCACTTTGTGCAGCTCTTTCATGATCATGTCATAATACTTTTGCGCAATGAAAGCTTATTGATAGCCTTTCTTGTTCTGTCCTATCTATTATATTTTGCTTCCTCACTAAACAGCTGTGCTTTACATTTAAAACAGTTGTGCATCTGATTTTTACGATGTTTTTCATGAATGTATAACAACAATACAAAGAGCAATGTGTACGTTTTACCAGAGTTAGTGCTACACTTATTTTCTCTTATTTGTTCCCCACTAAGGAATGTTTTTTTCACTAAATTTTCAGATTTTATAAAATTATTGTGCACTTGTGATATTTCTAGGCTAAGTTTTGCTGAGTTATCCACTAATCTAGTTTACAATAGCATTTTTGTCATAGGTTATTATGGTCATATATATTTTTTTTTATTTGTTGTTTTTCTTTATAATGAAGTTGTCTGTATTAAGTAGATTGTTTAACACACAAAAGAGTGTGGTTTTTAGGGTTTTATTTTGTTATAATAAACAAAAAAATGGAATATAATTTTTTTCGTCCGATTAATCGATTATCAAAATAATCGTTAGTTGCAGCCCTAGTACGAGGCACTCTGAGCTGACATCGCATTTGTCTCTTGTGCTTTCACTGCGTGATATGTGTATGTATTTATTATGTCAATGGTTATAGGTATGTCCCCAAATTAGTTTTTGCCTTATATTTATATCATATTATGTTGTTACATTAGAATATCACATCAGTAAGAGTGCCGTTTTCATAAGTGTGATATTTGTTATACAATAGTTAAATAAAAAATAAATTGACATTGTGAGTTAGTTTTTAGGCATAACATTATCAATATTGTTTGTTTTCCCTTTATTTCACCGACTAGAATTTCAAAATGAAACAGTAGAGTCTCAATGCAACAGACAGTGATGGTTTCTTGAATGAAATTCGCGTTTTGAATAAATCATTTTAAGGATTCAGTCACTTGCTTCTTTTCCGAATGAACCAGCCGTTTGAACAAATGGGTTGAATGAATGACTCCCTCAACTTGCTTCCCTCAAAGACAGTGATTTACCGCCGCCTACTGGCAGTTTTATTTTCATATTAAAAGTAAAACGTTAAAATTAGACATCATTTCATATTTAATATTGATTTAAAAAAAACGTATAGCTTGATTTATGCAATTGTAAATGGAGTGTATATATTAATGCCACTTCTAATGCTGCTTCTGTGTCACCTCTGCTCTGAAAATATGAATTTTGATTGAATGATTTAATTTGACGGCTAAGGGTGGTACTGTATAATTGTTGTGTAATTAAGTATTATTGTTTAAATAGGCTAAGTATAATTACTGTATAATTTCATTTGAATGTTAGTATTTGACATAAAATGTGATGCATAACTCTAAAAAAGTATAGAAAATAAATAAATAAATAGGTGAAAATGCCCCTGGAAATCAATTTAAGGTGGCAAATATTGCACATTAATTAATAATTTCTGTCACTGCTGTGAACTGACCACTGCATAGAATATGAACAATATGAATATCTCTATATTATCTCTATATTAATTGGTCTAGTTGTCTTTGGAAGGTATTTTATAGTAGGTATTGTAATTGGTAATTTGTAATTGAATTTGTAATTGAAATTTGCAATTGAAATTTCATGTTGGTGTTGTAACAACATTATTAAATGTTGCTACAAAAAAATAAAAAATACAAGGTTGCATGGCTCTACACAACAAAAACAATGTCTTTTTTTTGTGGCAATTTTGGCAGGGAAGAATATTTAAACATCTATACCACTGGCTGACCGGGCCAGTAGAAACAAATCTTTAGCTTTGAGCTCTGTAACTTGCCACTAAACTATGCACAGACCATGTTTTCCCTAAAATTGTCTGTCTTTCACTCTCTATCCATCACTGTACCGGTTAAACAAGTTCTGGTTGGTAAATTGGTAGAGTAAAATTATTCAAACATTGTGTTCAATCCTCAATTAGGGCACAAATGTGACTGTACTGATGGGGCTGTTTAGTGTTTAGTCACTGGTAATTAATAGATGAACACAACTTGATTTGGATGTGTAGCCTACAAACAGAATATGGAATGCGGTTGCTCTACCCCAAAATATGAACTTGTTATCTTTTTAAAAATGTTGTAACACTTTCACTATGGCTGTGTCCTGCCTCTCTACAGGAATATGTTCGATTAGTTGGGTCCTGGTGCCAGGTGAATGTGGGATCCTATCGTTTTGTTTTGGGTCAATGCTATCTGTCCAGTGGTGAGGGGCAAAAGGTAAGAAAATCCATGAGTGACCAATGGGCCTCTGTTAGGAAATCTCTATATTTGGATTAAAAAATAAGAAAACTAATCTCTAGGTACCAAGTATAATTTGACAACACTATAATCATGGATTCGATTCCCAGGGATTGTATGAACTTAATGAATGTGTAACTTGAAATTAAGTCTGCTAAATCTATAAGTGAAAGTAATTTAACTTGGTTGCCATATTCTTGACTCTCCAAGGTAGCTATTTTCCTGCTGATTAACTGCAAGTACCATTGCTGTCAACCAGAATGGAGAAAGACCAAAACTTTTTGTTGAAATTAAGGATATACTCGCACTAGGCACAGTCGTAATGATGACAGTAACGCTCTGTTCTGTGCTATGGTGTGGTTAGCGATCACACTACATGTGTACCGCACCTGAGCCCAACTGAACTGTGGTCTGGCTCACCTCTTCCAAGTGGGCCAGGGACGGTTAAGTGAACTGTGATCACACTCAAGCGAACCATGATCACACTAGTCAAGCGAACCATGATCACACTAGTCAAGCGAACCATGATCACACTAGTCAAGCGAACCGTGATCACACTAGTCAAGCGAACCGTGATCACACTAGTCAAGCGAACCGTGATCACACTAGTCAAGCGAACCGTGATCACACTAGTCAAGCGAACCATGATCACACTAGTCAAGCGAACCGTGATCACACTAGTCAAGCGAACCGTGATCACACTAGTCAAGCGAACCGTGATCACACTAGTCAAGCGAACCGTGATCACACTAGTCAAGCGAACCGTGATCACACAAGTCAAGCGAACCGTGATCACACTAGTCAAGCGAACCGTGATCACACTAGTCAAGCGAACCGTGATCACACTAGTCAAGCGAACCGTGATCACACTAGTCAAGCGAACCGTGATCACACTAGTCAAGCGAACCGTGATCACACTAGTCAAGCGAACCGTGATCACACTAGTCAAGCGAACCGTGATCACACTAGTCAAGCGAACCGTGATCACACTAGTCAAGCGAACCGTGATCACACTAGTCAAGCGAACCGTGATCACACTAGTCAAGCGAACCGTGATCACACTAGTCAAGCGAACCGTGATCACACTAGTCAAGCGAACCGTGATCACACTAGTCAAGCGAACCGTGATCACACTAGTCAAGCGAACCGTGATCACACTCGTCAAGCGAACCGTGATCACACTAGTCAAGCGAACCATGATCACACTCGTCAAGCGAACCATGATCACACTCGTCAAGCGAACCATGATCACACAAGTCAAGCGAACCGTGATCACACTAGTCAAGCGAACCGTGATCACACTAGTCAAGCGAACCATGATCACACTAGTCAAGCGAACCATGATCACACTCGTCAAGCGAACCATGATCACACTAGTCAAGCGAACCATGATCACACTAGTCAAGCGAACCATGATCACACTAGTCAAGCGAACCATGATCACACTAGTCAAGCGAACCGTGATCACACTCGTCAAGCGAACCATGATCACACAAGTCAAGCGAACCGTGATCACACTAGTCAAGCGAACCGTGATCACACTAGTCAAGCGAACCATGATCACACTAGTCAAGCGAACCGTGATCACACTAGTCAAGCGAACCATGATCACACTAGTCAAGCAAACCATGATCACACTAGTCAAGCGAACCATGATCACACTAGTCAAGCGAACCATGATCACACTCGTCAAGCGAACCGTGATCACACTCGTCAAGCGAACCGTGATCACACTCGTCAAGCGAACCGTGATCACACTCGTCAAGCGAACCGTGATCACACAAGTCAAGCGAACCGTGATCACACTAGTCAAGCGAACCGTGATCACACTAGTCAAGCGAACCGTGATCACACTAGTCAAGCGAACCATGATCACACTAGTCAAGCGAACCATGATCACACTAGTCAAGCGAACCGTGATCACACTAGTCAAGCGAACCGTGATCACACTAGTCAAGCGAACCGTGATCACACTAGTCAAGCGAACCGTGATCACACTAGTCAAGCGAACCGTGATCACACTAGTCAAGCGAACCATGATCACACTCGTCAAGCGAACCATGATCACACAAGTCAAGCGAACCGTGATCACACTCGTCAAGCGAACCTTGATCACACTAGTCAAGCGAACCATGATCACACTAGTCAAGCGAACCGTGATCACACTAGTCAAGCGAACCGTGATCACACTAGTCAAGCGAACCTTGATCACACTAGTCAAGCGAACCATGATCACACTAGTCAAGCGAACCGTGATCACACTAGTCAAGCGAACCGTGATCACACTAGTCAAGCGAACCATGATCACACTAGTCAAGCAAACCATGATCACACTAGTCAAGCGAACCATGATCACACTCGTCAAGCGAACCGTGATCACACTCGTCAAGCGAACCGTGATCACACAAGTCAAGCGAACCGTGATCACACTAGTCAAGCGAACCATGATCACACTAGTCAAGCGAACCGTGATCACACTAGTCAAGCGAACCGTGATCACACTAGTCAAGCGAACCATGATCACACTAGTCAAGCGACCCATGATCACACTCGTCAAGCGAACCATGATCACACTAGTCAAGCGAACCATGATCACACTAGTCAAGCGAACCATGATCACACTCGTCAAGCGAACCATGATCACACTCGTCAAGCGAACCGTGATCACACTCGTCAAGCGAACCGTGATCACACAAGTCAAGCGAACCGTGATCACACTAGTCAAGCGAACCGTGATCACACTAGTCAAGCGAACCGTGATCACACTAGTCAAGCGAACCGTGATCACACTAGTCAAGCGAACCGTGATCACACTAGTCAAGCGAACCGTGATCACACTAGTCAAGCGAACCGTGATCACACTAGTCAAGCGAACCGTGATCACACTAGTCAAGCGAACCGTGATCACACTCGTCAAGCGAACCGTGATCACACTAGTCAAGCGAACCGTGATCACACTAGTCAAGCGAACCGTGATCACACTAGTCAAGCGAACCGTGATCACACAAGTCAAGCGAACCGTGATCACACAAGTCAAGCGAACCGTGATCACACAAGTCAAGCGAACCGTGATCACACTAGTCAAGCGAACCATGATCACACTAGTCAAGCGAACCGTGATCACACTAGTCAAGCGAACCGTGATCACACTAGTCAAGCGAACCGTGATCACACTAGTCAAGCGAACCGTGATCACACTAGTCAAGCGAACCAGATGTTGTGGATCTAACGTGCTCGGGCACAGTTCAGATCGCCTAATGTGAGTACACCCCAAGTTTCAGTAACATTTTGAATCCGTAATGAAAGCAGATGCTTCTGAAGCTTGGATTGTTAAACAATTGATAAGAGACAAATGTCTTTTTGCATTCTCTGGGATGCATGCAAGCATAGGCAAACAGCCTTTTGGCTCTTTTAGCAATTGTTTATTTTTTTCTTGCAATTTACTCCAGACACTACACAAGGCAAACTGTACACTCCGCAAAAATACATGAATGGGAAGAATAACACTTTAAAGAGCCAGTGGCCTTTTTAAAATAGGCATTCCAATGCTCAAATCATGGCAGATGTAGTAGTAATGGAAGTTCCTTTTTGAAGTCAACAAAGTTGTTTTAGATGCAAAAGAGGTGTTGTGAAATGATGCCTATTTGCAGATGTAGTTTGTCATGTGTGGATGTGCGTTTTGTGGTTTTAGGCATTGCAGTGTTTCCAGGAAGCAGCCACTGAAGTGGATAAAGAAGAGTTTTTAATTAAACTCACGGGTTCACATGAGGAGACAGCCGTGACCGCCCCACGATTACTTTATTACAACAAGGAAAGTGCCTGCTAGATGCACTGAACAGGCTAAAATTATTATTCAGCTTTTGAATGGGCATGTAATAATTCTATATATTATTTACTTATTTAGGTTTTACGGTTATTGGAGGATATTTGTTTGCCTGAGCTTGTGATCAATTTGGCAACGCTGGCCATATCTGAAGCTGCTAATGACGAGAGAAGCCAGGTAACAACTTTGTGTTTTGAGAGTGACTAATTCAACTAATGTAAAATTCAATTGTGTATTCCTGTCTTATTGATTTTTTTTTTTTTTTTTTTTTTTTTTTTTTTGTCTGATGAATTGTTTGGTTTAAACCTAAAATGCATAGCTACACATTTAAAAAAATTGTTTAATACTTTAAAATTATTTTGGCATCCTTTGCCTAGTGTTTCATTATGATAACACACTCATTCATTCAAATGCTTTTAATCCATTCATGTGCGATATGGACAAGGATGAGAGCGTGGAAAATTTGTTCATTTAAATACAAATCTTTTTTCACAGTATGTAGAGCGTATACTAGTAGAACTAGTGGAAAACTTACCAGTCACAGTACTTAAAATACACATTTTCCTTTTAGATTTATCTTTTTTTATCCTAAAATTTGTTATAAGGAAAGAAATCATAAAAATATTTAATGAATGTCAACTTCCCATACATTGTGGTAAACATCAACATAATTTTGAAAATTTCTATCTCCATTTAATATTAATAAGAAACTGCCCTGTATTGTAGGCTGCTCTGTGGACTCGTATATTCAAGCATCATCTGGATCTTGGACACAATAGTCAGGCATATGAGGCCCTGACACAAAACCCTGATCCTAGCAGGTACTGTGCAATGGCATAATTTTCTTATCTACAGTTTAACATAAAATACTTGAGGTGTGTGTGTGTGTGTGTGTGTGTCTGCAGGCAGCTGGACTGTCTCCGACAGCTGGTGGTGGTGCTGTGCGAGCGCGCTCAACTCAGGGATCTTATCCAGTTCCCATTTGTTAATTTACATGATGAGGTAGGTCAGAATACTTGCTCACACATGTGCCTTCTAGATATTTAAAACTGCATTGGTCCTGTTAGACAAGTTTTTGAAACAGACATCGAAATAAAATTCACAAAAAAAAAAAAATAGGGCTGTTGACATTAATACATGCGATTTAATTCAAAATTCTTAATGCGTTAAAATAATTGAACGCAAATAAATTATAAACTGAAGCACATGTAATGATCTTGGGCACAGTAAGATGATCTTGGGAGTCTGGAGTTTATCTACATGTGATTCTGTTCAGTTGCGCAAATTAACTTAAGCTTTTTGCTGTTACAGACTGAATACTGAAAATAATTTTTCATTTTTATTTCTCATGGGTCCTTTGGTGTACATATGTTTATGAATTGTATGGAATCCTTATCATTTGGTTATTTGGTAAAGACACCTAAATTTACTTAGGAAAAAGCTTGCAGGAAATACAGTTTTGTGAGAATCACCCTTCAATCTCATGCTTTACTTTGCTGGATATAGCAAATAAAGACAAAATGAACGTGTTAAAACAATTGGTTCTATGCTTAATTTCATAAGTGTATGATTAATCTCACAAAAGGGTCCGATTGATCGTGATTTAAAAGAAATTAATATATTGACAGCAGACTATTAGATCGGATGATATCTCCACATCAGAAATATCAAATCCAGCCCTGGATATGTGCAACCCAGCAAACCTGTCAACAGAAATTCTTGTCTGGTACTCAAGACTCTTTAATAGCCTGAGAGTTTGACTGAGAAGAGCAGAAGCAGGAGATGAAGTGATGATAATAAAAGAGCAGAATTTATTGAATAATCATAGTTGTGTATTAGTCTGGTTAAAACCAGACCATCTCAGTTTGCGAGGGGCGTCACCAACTGACGTAGCTCAAATGCCTCAAAGGCGCAATTGGATAGACCTAAAACCAATCAGAGCGCTGAATGAGATGACGTATGCAGAGCGACGTTCGTCTGTTTGAATAAACGAGCAGACAATCTGATTAGCTCCTTGCTCTACGTTTATTTAAAACTAACAGCAAGACAACTATAAGTGAATGTGCTTTCCATTATCACACACAGTAAACAAAACCTGAACAAAAAAACTTTGCAATGAACTTTGCAATTTAGACACGCTAACTGCGTGCCGGTATGGTAAGATCTTACTGTCTATGGGTGAGACGCACATGCTCGGGCAGATTCGGCTTGAAGTCGTTCATCCTTGGACGCGGCGGCCGCTTAAAAAAAAAAGCCATGCACACAGCTAAGGGAAATGGGGTCGGCCTTGCGCACCGAACGCGTCATTTTTGCCGCGCACCTTCGCGCTCGTACAGACGCGTCAAGTATAAACAAGGCTTTACTCCATGTCAATGCGCGCTCTGATCGGTAAAGGTGCACAGACCTCCCTCGAATCATCTCCAGCAGCAGTCTCTGAAGCACCACCAACTCCGCCTCCGTTTCCCTCGTAAGCTGATATTAGTATTTAAACATTCTCTATATGATAAAAAATGTTTGTGAAAAAAATATTTTAATAACATGGTTTTGGCGGTTATAGAGTTCTAATGACGGTGTTCAACTATAACCGTCATACCCCTTTGTAAATGTACAAAATCTGCTTCACCGTCGCTGTACTGTCGTCATCGTGTAAAGCCTGTCCGAACGTTTCGGAATGGTGCCGCGATTTCGGCGGATTGGGAATGGGTTTGAATGAGCTCTTAGCCAAACTAACTTTCAGAGCAAATCTAAATTTGCCAGAAGTTGTCTGGGTTTTCCCAGGCTAGTTGCGTATGTCTCAATGCTCAGACTTTGTCTAAATCAGGGGTATTCAATTAAAGTTCCTTTCCTTCCCAGCGGAGTCTGGACAATACTTTTTTGGAACGGTTATAAAACATACTCAAAAATAGTCATCAAAGACAGTGATCTCTAAGATTTTTTACCAAAAATTCTCTCAACTGGATATGATTATAAAATTGTTAGATCAGATGTTTTAACGGGCTATTTTTTACATTAATTTTAATTTAGACACCTTTGTGTATGGCACATTGAAGACCATTTTTATATTTTTCTCAAAGTAAGAAACTACTAAAAAGAAACAATGTACATAATAGGGGTGCAACGGTACAGATAGCCCACGGTACGGTCCGTACCTCGGTTTTTGGGCCACGGTCTCGGTTCGGTTTCGGTACATGTTTTGTGCAGAAAGAGACTGCTATTTCATCCCAAAAATATGTTTTATTTTTCTTATGAGCATAAACAGAATGTCACAGTAGGAAGAACATCAATGTGTATGGAATAAATTAACACTCTAGTCTGTACTGAACAACACTAAGCAATACAACCTCTTCAACTACCACTTATGATATACAAAATGTAAACGAGCACACTTTAAAATATTCAAGTGGATCCCAATTTCAAACCTTGATAACTGGTAAATGAAGTGATCAATGTGAAAGAAAAAGTGCACTTTTATCTTTAACATAAATTAGCTTGTGGTTTGAATAAAAAGAGCAGAGCAAAATAATATAATAAAAAAAAAAAATACTGCATTCAGGATACAAAGTGCAATGTTACTCATCCACTTTTGAGAGATTCTTGTGTAAAAATATACTGCAGTCAAACATTTGACTGGGTTTGCATCCACTATGTGCTGGGAATGTAGAGAGTAGGCTACGTGGAGCCGGAGGTGAGGCGTTTATTTAGTAAGCGTGAGCGCGCTGGGGCGGGCACGTAACTTACATTCGCAGCCTGACTCATATGAGTATTCAATGTGCGGCGGCTCACAACAGTTGGCTGTTTTGAATGAGACGACCCGTGTGAACGGGGAGTGCTTTATGAACATCTATGACGCGCGAGCAGCGCCGGTCTGTTCGTGTGTCTGTTAGAGTGAGCGCTCGTGAGCGACACACACATAACCTGATTTATACGAGGTTGAACTGGCCGTGTGACAAAGCGGGCATAAGCTGGACACGAGCGCGAGTTCGCGGGCGAATTTAATAACGCGGAGCGTTGTTAACTAATTGATCCATATATAGTAAGGCGCTCCGGAATATAAGGCACACTGTTGTTTTTTGAGAAGGTTAAAGGCTTTTAAGTGCGCCTTTTATAGTGCGGAAAATACGGTTAAAGGATCAGCACGAACTCTATGGCAGAACCGAAGTCCCGCGGGACACGAGGTTAGATTGTCTTGTGCAGGGCTGACCGAACGGTCCGGGATTTTACCGTGTACCGTTGCATCCCTAGTACATAATCTAATAATCAAAGCACACTCTATAAGCACAAAACAGTTAACTAGTCATTTAAAAGATTTTTTTTGTCTTCCCCTGCCATCTCTAAATCATTTTCCAAATTCTAACATTGTGTATTTTAGAATGCTCTTTATATGCTGATTAATAATTCTAAATGTGTGGGTAAATGTCTGAAGATGCCACATGTTAGCTTGTCTCAAACCTGGTTTGGTTTTATGGTCAGTCATCTGTATGCAGGGTTTCTGTGGATCCTTAAGTCTGAACTAGATTTTTTTAAATTTAAGACCATAAAACTCTTAGGTCTTATTTTTAAGGTCTTTTCAATGGCAATTTGGCTTAGACTGCTCCCAAATGAGTTTTTGTATCATATTTATATCATATTATGTTGTTATAATACAATATCACATCCACAAGAGTGCCGTTTACTCGTGCACAATTGCAAATGTGATATTTAATTTGTATAACGGTTAAATGAACAATAAATTAACATTTTGAGTTACATTTTATAAACATTATTGTCAATATTGTTGGTATTCCCTTTAATTCGCCGACGAGAATTTCAAAATGAAACTGTAGTCTCCATGCAACAGACAGCAATGATTTTTTTGACTGAAATCTGTTTTTGAACGTATCAGTTTAAGGATTCAATCAAAGAACAATCATTTGCTGCTTTCCCGAATGAATCAGCTGTTTGAACAAATCTGTTGAATGAATGACTTCAACTCACTTAAGACAGTACCTAATGGCAGTTTCACATTTAAAGGGATAGTTCACCCCAAATTGAAAATTCTGTCAGTAATTACTCACCCTCATGTTGTTCCAACCCCGTAAGACTTTTGTTCATCTTCGAAACACAAATTAAGATATTTTTGATGAAATCTGAGAGCTGGATCACTCCTCCATAGGCTTCTAAGGGATTGAAACTTGCCGGCCCTGAAAAGTTATTAAAGACAGCATTAAAATAGTCCAAGTGACCACAGTGGCTCAATTTTAAGTTTATCAAGCAACGAGAAAACGTTTTATGCGCAAAAACAAACAAACAAAGATAACGACTTTATTCAACTATTCATTTCCTTCTCTGTGGGCCTCAAGTGAGTTCACGTAGTGTAACAGCGCAGCGCTTGTGTTGTACGTCACACGCATCACACACATGACCAGGCCAATAGTAGCCGCATTTCCACTGCCGGGCTAGGGCTGGGCCAGAGCTAACAGTGAGCCGAGCCGAGCCGAGCTAGTGGCCTCGGGCCTCAAGCACCGGGCTTGCGTTTCCACTGCCGGGCCAGTAGCCCTAAACCCCGCCCCCTAACAATGCCTTTCTGGATCAAACGTCATACAACCCAACCCATTTCAGCGGGTATTGAATTAATTTGAAATAGTTGTGCATGCTTTCATAATATCTCGACTGGACTACTGTAATTCTGTGTATATCGGCGCCCCTCAGGCTTGTGTTTCACGTCTACAATTAGTTCAGAATGCAGCGGCTCGGCTTCTCTACGGGAAACGTAAATATGATTCTGTCACGCTAGTATCGATCTCACTACATTGGCTGCCGATCAAATATAGAATTGATTTCAAAATTCTATTGTTTGTTTTTAAATCCATTCGTAATGAGACACCACAGAATTCAACAGATTTGCTACACCCCTACGTTCAGTCAAGGTCACTTAGATCCGCAAACTCCGGACTATTGCAAGTCCCCGGGACAAGATTAAAAAATAGAGGTGATCGTGCCGTGCCCTCTCTGTCATCAGCCCT